AAAAATATATGAAAAAATCGAATGATTTCATGACTCGATATATTGATAAACAAATGATAAAGAATGAGTTATGATGGCTTAAAATAAGTAACAACAAACCAGTCAGAATGACTTATCATCATGATTGATAAAAAAACAATAATGACTCATTCTGACTAACAATGAGTCGATATTGATAAACGATGACAATGCCGTATATTGATATGAAAATCAATATAAAAACCTAAGAGAAATTGATTGAAAAATAATATTTTGTTCAACATTCATATTCATAATAATTTACCTTTTTTTTTATTTGTGAAAATAAAATTTCTACAAGCCATTAGGATTAAAAATCCAAACTCTACACACTATAAATTATGGAACATATATTCCAATGTGCTCGAGAGAGACATCAATATCATCAATAATATATATATGTAATAACCAAGCATCCACACCCATTTATTTCATTTGTCACATTCAAGAAACCATATTTGGATTGAAATAACGAATATGGGAGGAGAATTGTTAAGAAGTGAAGGTGACATTAATCAACATATTATAACGATCGAAACAATGGAACGAATATTAAAATTAACAATATTGATGTCAATGATAACAATCGTGATTGGTCAATTTATGGTGGTGAAAATCAAGGTATTAAATCCTATCGGAGAAAATTCTGATCTAATTGAAGATTTCTGGACTCAGATGAGTCTAGAAAGAAAATTTCATACAGAAGTGATTGAAATATTTCAACGTCAATGTGTCGATAAAATGATCTTGAAAGAAAAACGTATGATTAACTATGTTACAGTGATGGGCATAAAATCAGTTTTGGATAATCGGTCATATCGGTCACGTTCAAGTGTTGGAACATTTCGCAATGAAACATTATACAGAAAAGTTGAACCAGATAATAATTGAAATTATCAACTCATGTGATGCTTGTCTAAAAACGAAGCAAGGACCATCTTACGGAACAATGTGAAAAATGGATCATCTAAAGCACCGTTTGAAATCATATTTATTGATACAGTAGGTGGCAACACCGGAAGATCAACTAAACGATATCTTCATTTAGCCATTGATGCTATGACAAGATACTTATACTTCAAAAACTCAAACTTACCGAGATTTTGTAAAATCAGTGGAAACAGTACAAAAATATGGAAAGCCCAGGTTGGTTGTAGCCGATCGTTACGTGGCAATGGATTCAATTAGCTTCAAGAATTTTCCTCAAAATAATGCGATCGAGCTAGTGTCCACCCCAGTCGATCATATAAAAACGATGGACATTGGAAGAAGACTTAACTTCTGATTTAGTTTATGTTGATGAATTGTATGCTGTGCGAATTCGATTAATTATTTTCAATAATCACTCAAATAATTTTTTTTCGTTCAAAATTGAAAATGGTAGATTTGTAGAAACGACTGTTGCTAGTAGACTAGATTATTTTGACCGAATTTTCAATTCAATTTTTAAATTTATAAAATTGACTTATTTTGAATTTTCACTGATTATTTTTATTTTATTTTTTTTTACTGATTATTTTTCTTATTTTACTGACCGTTAATTTGAATAAAACCGACCGGTTTATATTTTAAAACTGACAATTTTTATTTTTAAATTAACTGATTAATCACATAATTCCAAAAAACTGACCAAAATCGATATATTTACTGATCCTTTTCAATTGACCAAAACTTTTAAAAATTACTGATCAACCCTTCAAAATACTGCCCGGAAAAATGGTACCAAAAAAAAAGAATCAAGTGCCAATGAAATCATAAATGTTTAGTTTTGTTTTCTGTATTATCTGTTTTTTTTTTTTTTTTTCATCACTAACATGGATCACATTCATTGAACGAAAAACGGATCTCAACCATGTTCAACATGATCGTTCTAATGGCCAATAGGGCAATCATATCATATCATATCATATTCTAATTATTAATTGGCTAATCAATTTGTTCATGTTGAAATTGAGAACGAAGAAAATTAGTATTTAGATTTTCGTTGGTTGAATCAAATTTCAAAGAAACCGAAAAACATTTTATCCATGTGAATGGATAAAGAATATAATAATTATGATGATGATGATGATGATCATGATCATTATAAAATGTTGATGGTTATTTGACCTATACATCGTATTATTATTTTTTTTTTTTACATTCAATATATCATCTGTTAAATGCATTTTTTCTATCTATAGACCAATAGACATATCATCATCATTTGAATTATGATTTGTAGCGATAATAATGTAAAAAAAAATGTCATTGTTGAAAATGAATGAATCTGAACATGATACATGATTCATATGTCTCATATATGAAAACATTTCCGATCCAAAATAATCGACTATTTTGTTTTTTCCACCACTACATCTGTAGCCTCTTTGTGAATGTTCAATTTATTATTTTTTGTTGTTGTTACTATTTTTGTATTTTAAATTGCATTCTGTTGCTGCAATTTCACTGTCATATCATCATTAATATTATTATATTATTATTATGAATGTTAAATATGTATGGCCAATTTATGAAAATTATGAAAATTTATTTCATACATTGCAATGAAATATATGAATTTTTTTGATTTGAAAATTCAATATTCTCTGTACAAATATTGTCAGAAATAAAAATCAATCATAAGTATTTGTACAAATGTTTGTAATATATATAGTAAGTAAGTACCACATATACACACTCACACACACACAATTGGGAATACCTAACCCCCTTAATATTACCTGGATTGATTGAAAACCAGGTTATTCTTAAAAAAAAAAATGAATTAAAATCTAAAATTTTTTTTTCTCCTCTGTAAACACACCATGGAAACTTGAATTGAAACCAAAATTGGCCACCATCAAAAAAAAAAAAAAAAAACACTACCCACATCATCATCATCATCATCATTGGATATAAAAATAAATCCAAAACATTAACTATCAACGAACGGAATAGTGATCAAGTATTAAAATCGTACATATTAAATGTGAATGTGCCATATTATATAATCGTGTGCGTGTGTAACCTAAAATATATTGAAAGGAATGAATTATATACGTTTAGTTTTAGTTTTAGTTAGTCAGTATAGTAATATTTTTCCTTCATCTGATAATACGATCAACGAAACGTTTGTTTTTTTTTTACTCGACCACCCGAATTCTGTATGAGCACGAATCAAGTTTTTTTTTTTTTTTTTTTTTTTTGGTTATATTTCTTTTTTGTTTTTATACGCGGCACACACACACACACACACACACACATGAAGGACATTTGAGAGAGAGAGAAAAAAGCAAGAATAAATGGTGTGTGTGTGTGTGTGTGAATACAATGTATAGTGACAATAAATGATGAAATAAAAAGACAAAATGTACGACTCGTTTGTCCGTGTGTGTGTATGTGTGTCCGAGTGTATATGTCCGTCAAATAAAAATCGTAGATTATCGTATTTGGTAATAATGATAATAATGGGGCCAGTAGGATTTTTTATACGAATGAATGAAAATTGACCAGGATTTTATCGAATTTTATTCGCTCTCATTCTCTCTCTTCTCTCTCTCTCTCTGTCATTTTGTCATTGTTCTATTTATTTCTTCTCTATATTGGCACACAATATATTTCTTTACCCTATTTTTGTTCTATTCTATATATATAAATATCATTCTTTTATCGAAAATAGTTGAAGTAAAAAAAAAAAAAAAAGAAAATGTAAATAGCAACACTAAATGATTGTGTGTGTGTAAATCAAGCTTGGATAATCATATTTTTTTTTTTTTGCTATTCGTTTTGCTTTGTATATGATGATGATGATGTCGGTGATGATGAATGATGATGTGTTCAATGTGTTTTTGAGAAAAAAAAACTATCGAGAAAAAAGAAAATGAAAATGAAGCATATAATAACAAAATTTTTAGTATAAAAAAAATTTTTTTTTCTACCACAGAACAACTACGTGTGCATGTGACAAAACATTCTCTGAATCAAATTCATAGAGAAAAAAATAGCCTGTTATGTACACTACCTAAATCGTAAAGGAGTAGCGCAACTACCAAAATCGATAGTACACACAAAAACTTGGTAGTACTTGCTAATTTAATAGTGTACACTACTAAATTAGCCGGACTTTCGAAGTAAGTAGTGCACACTACTAAATCTCAAAATACAACCCAAATATGTGTAGTACAATACCAAATCTGATATTACAATACTAAATCAGATAGTACACTACCAAATCTGATAGTACACTATCAAATCAGATAGTACAATACCAAATCAGATAGTACACTTGTTGTAACATTCTATATGAATGATATTAATTGTATTGTATTATTGTATGATGATTGACATTGAACAATATTAAAATTATTCGATTTTCTATCATCATCGTGAATACACGTGTTTATTATTTTACAACACTACCAAATCAGATAGTACACTACTTTGATTTTTGACCTCTCCCTCTTTTTAACCCTTTCGACCTCCTTTTCATTATTTGTATTGAATTTAAATTTTATTGCAAAATTAAATGGATAATAAATAAAGCAAGAATCTTTCCTGCTCTGTTAAAATCCAGCTGTGTCTGGATAGAGACAATTAAGAATTTATCAGCTACCGAAAGATCATCGTTTGAGCAGATCAAATTGGCTATTGAAAATGACAATAAGGGTAAACGCCTTAAAAATATGCAAGAATTAGCCAACATCAAACGTAAATCGAACGAATCTCTCCCGAAACTGGCGACCCGTATATGTCACGGCATTTATGAAGAGGGCCGTTTATGAGTAGAACAACGTGGTGGAAAAAACGCGTCACTTGTGTCTTGGCAGTTGAAGGAAACGTGTCTTTGTAAAATATTAAAATTTTATAAAATTGAAATAAAACCGAATTAGTGATTATTCGTGACATATACACATTCTAATTGATCGTGTATTTGGCAAGTTTGCAGCATCAAATAAAATGCAACTTGAAATTTTTTTCTTTCTAAATTGCCTTCCGCTTGATATTATAATTATAGAAGAGCATCGTGTTCTAGGCAGCCACCTGATTCATCAAATCGCGATACTCCTGCACAACATGACCAGGAAATGATTGATCCATCAAATCGCGAAACTTCTGAACAACATGACCAGGCAATGATTGATCCACCAATTCATGAGATTTCCGCACATGATCAAGAAATTCAAGAAATGATTGCTGCATCAGAGATTCCAATGATATGTGATAATGAACAAATGGATTCGGAAAATCAAGATTATTCAAATTCTGTTTATGATGACCCCGAAGAATTGGAAACGATTCAGGAGATATTCAAAGAATCTTTTGATTTTATAGCTGATTCAAATTCTTGTTCATATTATTCTAGTAACATAGCAATACTACCCGACGGTAATTTTTTGAATGATGGAATTGGAATTATAGCTTTTCATTTTTTTTTCAATTTAGACGAAAAAAAGTTCATTGATAAATTCCTGGCCGAACTCATCCAAGTGAAAGTAAATAAATCTATACCTGATAAACATGTTGTTGAAATCGGGAATGTAATCGCAAAATATTTTATAAAAGCAAGAGAAAAAAAGAACATGTTCCAAATATAATGGCAAAATATTGCGGTAGCAGTTATTTACAAAAGCAATTTGTGGCAGAACAAAAAATCCATACAAAACCCGTTACTATCAATATGCCCAATTTACGCATTCAATATTTTCCGATTAAAAATATTTTAAGAAGCATAATTGCTCAATATCCTTGGTTAATTGAATCGATTCAAAAAGAGAAAGAAAGAAAATTTGTTCCCGAACAAGACCGTGTCCATTTCCGAATCAAGAATGAACTAGATACAACAGACAAAGATATGTTTGATAGACTCGTAGGAAAACTTCGAGTTAAAGTTTCTTTCGACGATTTCTCATTTATGGGAAAAAACGGAAGAAAATTTTTTGTGGGTTATATGTCATGTTCAAATTTGCCGTTCCATGATCGGACAAAAAGAAACAAAATTTACATGTTTCTGATGGTCCAGCGACCAAATCCTGATTTACCTGTTGCAAATTTCATCGAGCAATTTGGTCATTACTACAATTATAGAGAGCCAAAACCATGCTCACTATTAAAATTGAATGGAATCACACGCCATAATATAATGCCTCCAGACCTGTTTCATGTTAAAAATATTGTTAAATAACGATATCTATGAATTATTATATTGGCATTGTATGATTTTGCCTTAGCTAAAAATACAAGTGTTTCGAACTTTGATTTGGTGTAAAAATTTATAATTAATTTCATGATTTATTAATAAAAACCATTTATTCAAAACGTAATTTTGTTATTATCGTTCATCCTCAACATTTCACGATCTGTTGGATAAGTTTCAAGACGACTTTATGTTTATATTGTCATCATATTCGTCGTCTGGTTTTCCGTCTTCGTATTCATCTTTGTTTTATAGTTATAATTTCCATCGTCGTTGTTTCCGTTTTATTCGTCTTAGCGTTTATTGTCGTTTTGTCATAAATTCACTTGTAAAATCGTTTGTTAAATAATGATTATAATATTATAAATTTATTTATTTATTGATTAAAAATTCAGTTATTTGGTTGTAGTTATATACTTAATTTTATCTAAATTTATGTTTATTTATCAATGATGAATTTGTATTTTTTAGATTGTTGCAAACTACTTTCAAAAATGATAGTGTACACTACCTAGCTAAGGTTTTGTACACTGCCATGTTGTTTAGTACTTATTCATATCGTAGTGTTCACTACCATTTGTACACTACTAACTAGTAATGTACACTACATGCTTTTTTCTCTGTGTTAATGATTCGGTGTGCAAAAAAATAGTGGTTTCGAACACCAAAACCAAATGAACAACAATGGCAACATCATTTTTCAAAACAAAACAAAAAAAAAAAAAATGAAGAGAATGGCATGAATTACATGGCATTGGCAAAAAAAAAAAATGAAAGTGAACAACAGTGGAAAAAAAACCCAACCTAACCAGAAAATAAAACAACAAAAAAAGACTAAAAAACAACAACAATACCAACTCACTAACAAACACATATGGGCATTTTGAATGGAGCGATTTTTTTTGGTTTTTGGTTTTTTTCCGATATTGTTATTGTTATATACCTATATCTTCTATATATATTATTATTTTGTATATGATATGATAATATTTATTGGCAATGAGCATTGATGATCTGTGTGTGTGTGTGTGTGTGTGTTTGTCATATAAATTATATCATCATCGTATATATAAATATATATGGATCATGATTACATATGAAAAAAACAAACAAATAATATGATGCATATAGTAAATTTAACCAATATAAAAGACAATATGGAAAATTAATTCGATAAGATCGATAAGAGAGAGAGAGAGAGAGAGAGAAAAAAAATTTTTTTTTTCTTGTTGTTTGTATTTCACATTCTTAACACACCATATACACACACACACACAAACACAATTGTTATGTAATTGGCTTTCCATTTATTTGCACACTTATTTGATGAGAAATGAATGAATGAATGAATGAATGGAAAAGTGAAAGTAAAAAAAATGTGAGAAAAAATCCGCCCAACCATCCAGAATTGTTCTTGAACCATAGAAAAGCAGAATAGACATGAACGGAATTTTTTTTTCGGCATACACATTTCATTTCCTTTTTCTAATAATAATTTGGTTTGATAATTTTGTTGTGGATTTATTATATATACGTTTTTTTTCTCTCTCTCTCTCTTTTTTGCCACGACACCAGAATTAACCACTTTAATGATGATCATAATCATCAGACAACCAAAATAGAATGCATAGAAAAAAAAATTAAATCAACTCGAATCTTAAAAGTATGAATAAAATACATTCACACTATAAACCATTGAATCAGCATAAATTAAATGAGAAAATAAGAAAAAAAAACCTGAAGAATAATCAAAAAAAAATAAAAAACTTACAGCAGAAAAAAAACTTGATAAAAAGTGAAAGAATTTTTAGTCAATTAATTGCGTGTGTGTGGGTGTGAATTAGCTAGTGTAATTGAATAGATAACAGAGGGGAAAAAAATTTTTTTTCCATCCATTCATTCTCATAACAAGTTAACACTTGAAAAGTGGGAAAAAAAATTTCGTTAGTCATTATAATATAAACACTTACACATGATTGTCGTCAATCATCATATTGAATTGTGGATGAATTTTTTTTCCTTGAATTCTATGTTTGTTTTAGATATTCAGAGATAGATAGAGAGAGAGAGTAAGAAGTTCAAGAGAAAATTTTCGAAATCAAAAATAAAATTAAAAAAAAGTTTTTCTCGTAAGTTTGATGATGATGATGACGATGCAAAAGTTTTTTTTTATTTTATTTTTACAACCGCCTAAATATAATCATAACAAATAGCAATGATGGATGGAATAAAAAACAAAACACAAATCGTCTGAAATAGAATGAATTGTAGAATTGTGAATTTGGCCATAAAATATGGTCCGAATTAAATGAATTCTAATTCCGTGTTTTTTTTTTTTTTTTTTTTAGTTTCTATTAAATGGCTAATCACATTCTATCTATGATGGTATTCAATTGTTTGCTCATATATATTTGTCATTATTGTTTATGGAGAAAAATGGATAAGAGAGAATTCAGTCAAACGGAATGGCAGAAAAATACAAACAACTGACAAAAACAACAACAACAAAAAAATAACAATGATAATGGATAACAACAATAACAATAACAGAATAACAATAATAATAAAATGATGAAACATTTGATCTAATTGGATCTGATCTGTCGATAGAATCGAGTATGGCATTAAGAATTCAAAAATATCCATTCGAACAGTAAAATGTTAACTGTAATGATTTTCAATTGGCCATATTGAATATAAATCAAAGAATTTTTTTTTTTTTTTTGAAAAGAAGAAAAAAATAACAAAGTCAACTTTATTTATTTATTTTGAAAAAAAAAGATTTTTCATATATAATGACAACTAATCAATCAATCAATCAATCAATGAAAAACGGAATCGATTCGACACTTGGATCGAATTCTAATCGATTCGACAACAATCGATAAGTTTTTTTTTCTCATTTAAATCAAACAAAATAACGATCGAAAAGGCAAATAATATATGAATCGAACAAAAACATTTGCACTTTTATACACGTATGAACATTGAACATTGACGAAAAAAAAATCTATCTCCAAGGAATTTTGGATGATGAGAATGACACCATACCAGAATACCAGAATTCATGAAAAGTAATTCCGGAACTAGAAACTTTTTCTTTTGCTCTTGTACAAGATCGTCAATCAATACATCATCATTGCCTACAGCCCTACACACGCACACACACACATACACACACACTTTCGTTTATACAGAATCATCCATCCTGAAAGGCATCGAGTAAAAAAAACAAAACTGTACCAAAGTTCCGAAATATATTGAAAAAAAAACGATTCACGACAACATTTTTTTTAAAGAAAGTTTTTCTCTTTCATTTAGTTATGAAATTTTTTTCTGTTTTTTTTCCATATTATTATTCATCATCATTGATCAGATGGTCACAAATCGGTTCATTCATTCATTCTTGTTGTTGTTGTTGTTGTTGATGTATGAAATGACAAATGAAAAAACAAAACATTTGAATTCAATCATAAAAAATAATAATAAAGTAAAGTTATGATGATCATTGTGAATTACGTTCTACCATTATTATTATAATTAATATACAAGTAAAAATAATAATGATATCAACAACAACAATAACAACAACAACAACAACAACAACAACGAAAAAAAAACATTATTATTCTGATCCATAACCTTGTCATATACTGTGAAATTTATTTTTCATTCTAAATTCACATAACAATATTCCTGATTCTAATAATAACAATAACAATAACAATAACAATTATTCTTGAAATGAAAAGAATAAAAATTCATACATTTCAAAAAAAAAAATAAAAAGGTACAAAGGCTTAATCTATGACTTTTTATTCTGTATTCTATTATTATGCTATATACACATTTTGTAATATTGCAAAATGATGATGATTTGCTTATACAAACAGAATTTTTTTTATTGCTTCGGGCTGTATAAAATGTTAAGGATAGAATAAAAAAAAATATTTACCAATGATGCAATAACAATTACAGTAATGATAATAATCGAAAAATCATAAGAATAAAAATCTGGATAATAATGAAAAGTCATTCTTTGCAGGCCAGTTTGGCCACAATTAGCCCGAAGTGTATTGAATTCATAAACGTGATGTGTTTGTTTTTTCCCACTCTCTTTATTCGACCTGGATGGATGAATCTTAACATATGAACAGACAAACAAAATGAAATGAAATTGAATTAAGAATAAAATTTTCTACTCATGAATTGTTTGTTTGCCTCAAGAATTCAAATGTAAAGAATATGAATATGATACTCAATAACATATTAGATTAATTTATGGAAAAAATAAAAATAAAATAAAATCGAAAATCATCACGAATGGTCATATGTTCATCCAGATATCCTTTGATGCAATCGTAAATGAATTTGACCGATTTGTTATTGTATAATCAATAATATAAAAGCTAGGAGAATATTTCCACAAAGATTACAGTGATTTTAAGCTTTTATTTTATTGAAATACATTAAAGAACATTGGCCACAAATGTCAAAATCGATTCTTGAAATGTGATGATGAAAAAAAGAAATAAATAATGGATGAAACGAAGTAAAGAAGAATGGATGAAAAAATGTCTAGTTTAACATTTGAATATTTCATGAGTAAGTTGGTTTTTTTTTTTTTTTTTTGTTTGGACCATTTTATTGAATTATTTGTGTGATACAACACACAGACAGGATTTTAGGTTTTTGGATCAATTTAGGTTTGATGCTACCAGATTTGATCATAGTTTGATTCATTATTAATTGATTAATTTCAACTATGATTATGATTGAAATCGATACATAAAAAATTATTGAATAAAATTTCCCAAATGAAAAAAAACCAAAACAATAAACAGAACAAACATAATAGAATATAAGAATTAGACAAATTCCTTATGATGTTTAATGGATAGAATTTGTCTAAACAACAACAGCAACAACAACAACGGCAATCATTATTGTTGATCTAAATATTTTCGGAACATTAAATTATATCATTATTATAGAATAATTTTGCAAAAACATTCTTTTACAATTTGGAATCCAATGATAATGATGATGGCGGTGATGATCATAATGACTATGACGACAATGTTTTATAATGATAATATTGCTTTTCAATAATGTCGAATGAAAAACAGCTACAACAACTTAAATCTTGTTCAACAACCATCGTTAAACAATTGGTCTATATATGGTGATGCTAATGATTTGATTTCAACGGAAACAACTCCAATAAGAAGATGACAACAACAACAACAACAACAACAAAAATTTTGATGATAAAAATTTACTTACGTAACAAACCAACGACTCAAACAACCATAACAAAAACGAATCACCATTCGTATGGCAGTGAATAGAAACCGAAATAGAAAAAAAAGACATTCTAACGTGCCAATGGTATCTATTCTATTATTTCATCATGAAATAAATTTTTTTTTTTTTTTTTCAAAGCCTAGTAGGCATTATTATTGTGTAATAATATGAACAACAAATAATTCAGGTTCGATTAGTTTTTTTTTCTTATTTCTATTCTTTTCCTTTCTTTTCTTTTCATTTGTGTCTCGTTTTTTTTTCAATTTCCTTTCTTTGTTCTGGATGGATCACTTTAGAATCTATCTATTCTATTCTATTATGACGCTTAAATTTTGTGCGCCAAACGCCTGTACCGAGCTCGTCTATTATTATATAATTATTATTAACCAATTTTGGGCGTTTCATATTTGTTTGTGGTACGTTTGCATTCAGATACATTCATTGTATGTAGAATAATTTTAATTTTTATCAACATAACACCCATTTATCCATTCATTCAAATAAAATTTTGATTCAAAAAAAAAAACAAAAATTTATACGGCTAAACAATTAAATTAACACACAACAAAACAAATATATATTCTGTAACAACACAATAATATAATGATGGTTGTTAACATTCTCATCTCGATGAATGAATACAATAATAATGATGATCATCATATATAATATAATGATCAGCAGCAGCAGCAGTATTTTATTTTCATGTTTTATGTATGTATGCATGTTTAAAGGTGTATAGAAGAAAACAGAATAAAAAATATATAGACCATAAATGAAATCAAGAATTAAGAATGTGTCAAGAATAACATAAGGAAAGAAAGGAATAGAAAACGTAGTAACCGGCCCTTTTTTCTTTGTTGTCGTTGTTGTTGTTGTTATATAAATCTATCCAAGTTTTTTTTCTCATTTTCAATCCCAATGGAACATGGAGAAATACAACAACAACAACAACAACAAAAAAAAAAAAAAAGTTGACATTCACAACGACAACAATAATGATAATGCATGAAATACTGTAGACGAAAATAAATAACAAAAAAAAAACGAAAACGAAAAAAAAAAAAAATGTGAAACATTTTAGCTTAATGGTAACTTGATTCTTTTTTCAGTTTTCGGCATGGTTTCTAACAAAAAAAAAAACAAAAAGGAATTCGGGCAGAAACTAAAAAAAAACTTGAAAATTAAATTATTGTTCAATATTTTGAACGTTCAAAATTGATTATGGCTAGTCCACAGATGGAACTCCAAAAAAAAAAAAAAAAAAAAAATAAAATAATCGTTTAATTTTTTCAAAAACCCAGAAAAAAAACAAACCAGATCTAATACAACAAAAAAAAATGAAAAATGAACACCAGAAAACGAGGCAAAAAAAACTAAACAAAATCCAAAATTAAGTGGCTTAAAATTTCAGTAAAAAAAGGAAAATTAAATTAAGAAAATTTATAATGGAGATACATATGATGGAAGATTTTCTTGTACGATACTGCTACCATCTTGTTTTTTGCATACAATAAATGATAGAATTAAGAATCTCGACAATTTTCTTCAAAAAAAATCTTTATTTACTCTAAGTTTAAATTTCTATATTTTAAAAAAAAAAAATGTCAATAATTGTCAAAAATAATAATAATAATAAAAATAATAATTAATAAAGATGCAAAACATCACGTAAATGGTCCAGGGTAACAAGAAAGATGCAAATAATCAACCAAATGATGGATAAATAAATCCAAAATTGACTTTGAAAAAACGATACAAATGGATTGATTCGGCGATAAATTTGATCAATATTAATCATTCGTAAATCTAGCCATTCCAATCTTGAACGTTTTTTTATATATGGTATGAGACATTCTTGTTTCACATATCGCCGTGAATAATATGCTAATAATGTAGGAAACACATATTGAATTAATGTACCGGAATAGGAACCAACATATTGAACAATAGATGATATATCTTCGGTAAACAAGGCAATCACTAATGGCGGTATAATTGCAATCAATGGCATTGAATACTTAATTATATGTCCATAACGCATATCATCAGTGAAACCGACCAAAACTTTCATATTGTTTATCAATGTTAAAGCCAGAATTGTATAACTTGAAAATAACGTAAAGATTGGAAATGTTGGTAAGAAAATATCAAAACCACTAATACTGGCAGGATTTGTATTATTATTCATATTGGAACATCTATTATTATATATCAAAACAAAAAAAAAACAAATAAATAAAAATTAAAACGTAATCATCCAAAAATTAGTACATACTTGTCTACTTGAAAATTTAAGGTATAAACTTGTTGGATATCGCCAAATGCAAAAATGGCAGTCAATGCAATAATAACATAGAATGAAAGCACCAATATATAATCAATGGAGATGGCCGTAAAAACTCTTTTTTTATTTCGAATGGGCGTAATAATTGATGGTACCGAATGATGACACATGAATGAATAGACACATATTCCAAATAATTTAGGAACATTAAGAATATCCATTGCTCTTGGTTTTCCTTTAGCTTCGTTTTTTACAAATATTTTGATTGTAATACCAATCATACTTAAAAATGCTATTTTTAAAAAAAAATATTGAAATTAATAAAAGATAAAATGTATAAATCAAATAATAATAATTACCCATCCAACGAAGTATAATGGTTCCAATTTGAATGATTTTAGTTTTCTGTAATTTTGCATAAGTTAATGGGCCTAAAATGGCAATGAATCCAAGCAAAAATATACGATAAGCATTATGGCGTGAAATTCCAACCGAATCCCAACAAACAGCATCAAGATGTTCTGGATCATTTTTATCCGTAGCATTACAATAAGCTTGAGATGTGCTAAAAAAAGTTTAATCAATATCATCATCATTATATTTAAATTTACAAATAAATGGTTATGAATAATCAACTTACCAGCTAATGTCACGTAGTGATTTAGACATCATTGAATTGTAGATCAATAAATCACCAAATAAATATACAATGATTGATACGAAAAAAAATTTCGATAAATATCTGTTCAAAAATAATTCGGTCATATTTCCCAATTCAAATTTTTCATTAATTTGAAATCGTTGATCAATATGATCGATTGATCGTAAACAATTTTCAATATTCTTCGTTATCATTTCACGGTTATCATTATTTGAATTGTGATTTCCTCTCATTTTTCTGAAAACATTACTCCAACGTAAATTATTTTTCTTGCTAAAACCATCGATGGACATGGCTACAACACCACTGCCAATACTATTAACACAATCAATATTACCATCAATGATAGTTGTATTAATCGAATTGGATGAAACGGTTGGACATAATTGTCTTTCATCGGATTCTGAATTTGAAAAAGATAATAAATTAGTCGATGAATTTGTATGAACAATTGGGCGAATAGTAAAGCCAAGATTATCATATTCATCATTATCATTCGTTTTTCCATAATAAACATCCATGCTATTATCGATATTTTTGTCATAATTATCATCACAGGACAATAAAGATGAAGTTTCGGTAGTTTCATGTTCTAGATTCCAAAGAAAAAACAATTTAAATGATTAGATTAATTTATGCAAATTTTGTGCGTGTGTGTGTGCATGTGTTCGGACGGGAGTGAGTGATTAGGTTCATAATAAAATAGGATATAGGATATATTGATCAAGCAATTTAGTAATAGATAAAATATTCAAATTACCCGAAATGTGTTATATAAATGATGTAAAAAGTATTTGATAAGAATGTAAAAAGGTGCCATGCAATATTCATCTGAAATAAGAAGAAAGGTGAAGAGGATACCATGCAGAATGATGTATCACGATAAAAAAAAGAGGGTTGTTAACCAAAACCAATGTTAAATCGATGACAGAATTAGAGAAATAAACTCACGAGAATAAATAAAAACATGTCAATTAAGGTATGGGTGGATTAAAGTTTTTTTTTGAACGTTACTTATTCAGGTATCATCATTATCATTATTATTAGTGTATTCGAATTCATTCATGCATGGTTATTGGTGATAAAATGGATAAAATGAATGATAATGATGAATAAATAAAAATGGAAAACACTACAAACAACAACAACAATAAAAACGGATAGAAAAGGGTCATCCGTTGGCCATTTTTTGTTGTGTGTGTGTGTGTGTGTGTGGTTATGAAAAAAAGTGCAGATTATCATAACGAAGGCATCTTACCAGGTGATGATGAAAATCAAATAATTGAAAAAAAACTTACCATTTGATTGTTGCATTCTTTTAACAAAATTTGCATTGGCCATCGATTCAATTAGGAATGTTGTTTGTACATATGAGATCAAACATAATAATGTTAGACAGATGATTCCGGATATATAGCCAGCATTTTCAAATACGGCAGGCATTGTCAATACACCGGTACCCAATAATAGATTAAATAAATAAATTGATCCGACCTGAAAAAAAATAAAATACATGAAATTAAATAGATAGATAGATTCTATGTAATTGCAGATATCCCGCGATTTATACGGGATATCGGCAAGAGAATACGGCATTTGCATGGAGCAACGTTTTTTTTTGTTGATTTTATTTTTTGACAGCAACAAAAATTCCATATCGATTGCAATAGAAATTCAATGTTGCAGTCAGCAAAAAAAAAAATATAACGAATAAAAAACGTTGCAAACAAGTCGTAATAGAGCTTTTATTGAATTAAAAACTAGAACTTACCAATGGTGAATACAAATTTTCATTGGCCATTTTTAGTATCTTTTGTCAGAAGTTTGTTTTCACAATATAAATGATGATGAATAGAAGAATGGAATAACAAAACACGGATTAGCACAGATTTAAAAGGAACAAAAAATAAAAAATTTTCATGAAAAATCTAGCTTTATTATTTAGAACAAATTAGCCATATATTAGTTCTATTTCATTAATAAATTGAATTAGAATTTTTGATTTTAATTAATGAAATTAGAATTTTTTTTATCACGAGTCAAGTTTTGTTTTATACAAGGCAATCAATTTCAATTGATTTTGTTGACGGCAACAAAATACGACATTGCTGACAATATGAATTGAATGTTGTCGTCAACGAAAAAAGTTGCCTCATATAAACGCAACTTTACCCAGGTAAACGAACCTTAATAAGAAAAAGAAAATATCCGGAATATTAAAAAAGAAAAAATTGTTGAACAAAAACAAAAATTCTAATTATGAATTATGAAAGCATCAGGTGATAAAATAATGATATGTTTAAGATGAAATTATCTATTATTCGAACGATTTTTGATTTTGATCATTGTCTTTGGTTTTTTTGTTTTGTTTTGTATGCAAATCATCAACAAACGCTCCATACACGAAATGAGCGAATATTTAAAATAGGATTATCTATCTTGGTGTTGTCGTTGTTGTTTTTTTTATTATTGATCACATAGAATCCACAAGATGGTGCTACTTTAGCCATCTTCATCATCTCATCATTAAAACGTGTCACAATACAGCTGTTTGTTTTTTGTGGTCATTGTTCCTGGATCGATTGTATTCATCAATTTCTTACTTTTTTTGAGGTGAGCACAAAAAAAAATTAATTATTAATTAATTAATCATTCAATAATACATGAATGAATGAAGACTATATATAATAATAAGTTTGATTAAAGTTTTTGTTTTCTTTGTCGTTTTGTTGTTGTTATTGTTGTTGTATTTTATCATTAACAAATTGTGACACAATCTTTTATCAAATTATATGAATATTAAGAATATATATATAGATAATCAAACAAAATATATAAATCCACCACACATCCGATAATCACATTTATATATATAGATTAGGGGAGAGAAACAAAAAATCACAATCGATTATTGATCAATGATGATGAATAAATAAATGACGATGACGATGATGATGATGATGTTAAGTATACAAGCAAATATTTAAAATAAATATATCAAATTCAAATGATTGATTAAAAAAACACTGAAATTCAAATTGTTCAACTAGTCGATACAAAAAAAAATTTATGCCATTTTTATATGATCATGATGTATTGAATTTCAATTGAAAATTAAATTCGAATTTATATATATTTGATGATGATCATGATCATAAATTATTATAATGATGGTATACGTTTTGCTTGTAAAATATGTGCTTTTATGTGTTTTTTTTATGGAGGAGTTTTTTAAAATTATTTTCTGCTACTATTGTTTGAATGTGTAAAAAAAATAATAATAACGATCGTCCAAACTGAAATCAAAGTTCAGTCCAATGTTCATTGTGCGATTGTAGCTGCAAATGATGATGATGATATCCATCCATTAACATTTACACATATGTTTTCTCTAAACATCATCATCAGTATCATATAAATTCCATCATTTTTTGATCACATCACATCTTTTTTTTTTATTTCCCCAATTTATTAATACTCGATTATTATATATTAATATTAATATATATTCGATAAGATACAATCTAAGATAGTGTGTCAACATTAGAACATTCAATAATGAAAGACAATTTCCACGTTCTTTTTAAAAAACACTTTATCTGTTAAGCAATTAATAATTAACAATTTAATCTAATCAAAATAGGTGAAAGAAAAAATCGCTTTGTGATAAAAAAATTGTGACAAACAAAAGAATATACAGGATGGAGATATCATCCTGGACATTAATTTGGTTATTGATAATTTTTTGGTCATTTTATAATATAATCCGTTCATCATTAACGGCCGAATATCAACGGAAATTATTTTCAACATATGGTTTATCATTAGGTATAATATCCATTCATTTGCAAAATGAATCAATAACCCGTTGGATTAATAACATTCAATGTCATCAAATGCCGTATAGACGAAATGTTTATAATAATCAATATCAAAAACCATATTGTTATTATCTACAATTAATTTATGGTTATTATTTCAAATTGAGCATTCTAATCTCTTATGTACTATTTCCTTATGCTTTCTACCAGATTTCAAGTGAGTGCATAAGTTTTTTTTTGTGCTGTGTTTGCATATTTAGTTTACATTTCAAATGAAAATTTTTTCTCTTTTTTTTTCTTTCTTTCATTCACATTCCCTTTTTTACATTTTATCATAGAATCATTGATTTATACGAATGAATTTCAACAATTTATCAATCATTTTTACATCAGATCCAATTCCATCAATGGCATTGATAATAATAAAAATGATGACAATCAATTAATTGTTATGTTTCCAGGTTTAACACTTTCTTGGATTGATAGCCTTTATTTTTTTATTGCAATTTGTATATGTTCTTTATTACATGAATTTGGCCATGCATTGGCTGCTAATCGACATTCAGTACAGATTGATACATTTGGATTTCAATTTAATCTCTGTCTTCCATTAACATTTGTTTCGATACCCATTGAACAATATTTAAAACATGATCTAATTGCTAAAATGGAAATTGCCTGTGCTGGATTGATGAGTAATTTCATTATCTGTTTAATATCGTTATTTTGTATCGTATTCAATCCTATGGCCATATTCTATACATCCATTAATGATGGATTGTTGATAACTTCGGTCGATCAGGTATACAAAAATATTATGAATTTTATATTCGAAAAAAATAATCCAAATAATTTTTTCTCTTCATCAACATTAGTCAATAATATCCGGTCTTAATGAATATGATGTGATTACCAAAGTGAATAGCGTGCCTATTAATAGCCAAAATGATCTGTTCATGACATTGAATAAAATATCCAAATATCAGACTGGTTTCTGTATTGAACATAATTTTATCGATCAATTTCAACGATGGTCATCATGTAATCTGGAAAAATGCTGCAATAAATCTGATCAACGAAGCAATTTATGTTTCATTTTCAAACGAATAAAAATTGAATCATTGAACAACGAATATTGTAATGTTACCAAAGAATTATCATCAAGTAATCTATATCATTTGGCAAAATTTGAATCCAATTTACAGGATTATTACAAATCATGTCTTCCTGTTCGAAAAATCATCGATAAAACAACACAATTTTGTCGCCATAAAAATGATTGTTTAAACACTTATTATGGTAAAAGTGATTGTCTATTTCCACTTGCATTAGAATCTCATTCAATCAGATTAATTATAATCGAAACGGATGAACATAAAATGGATAAGATTTTATTCTGGGGTCCACCAATGGAATTAATTCAGGCTATTAAAGTAACCAAAATGAAACCATTATTTTCATTCATTACACTTGAAGCTTTTAATAATGTTGAAATGTTTTTCCGGTAAGATACATATTTTCATCATCAAGTTTTTTTTATTGTTAAACGAAATTTTTTTTTTCGAATATAGATATTTATGGATTATTTCAATGACAATGATACAATTCAATCTGTTACCATTTTCGCCATTGGATGGATATCAAATGTTAACATTGGCCACTGATTATATTGAATCGAAATGTAAAATTAAATCATTTCGTTTATTACATCGTATTGCACATTTATGGTCAGCTATAATCATTCTATTATACATTATGTTGGCCATTTTTAAAATCATCAACCATTCATAATCATCATATATCTATTTTTATCATTTATGATGTTTCTATTTACAAATTCATCGTAATCATTAATCTTTCAATACATGTGCGTGCCTTAGAAATTTTTCCAAATCTCTTAATGCATCGTTACCTCTGGTCAGATTCATATCGATCAATTCTTTATCTGTGATATGTTTCATTTTACGAAATTCTTCACGTATCCAAACACGAATCTCTTGGCGTTGTTGATCATTGTCAATTTTTCGAATGAGACGAAAAAATTGCCTATATAATGATAATGTTCGTTGTCTTCTTATAAACTTCTCATATAATAAAAGAAAAAAATATTTTGTTAAAATTTATTTTAAAAAAATTATCGACAACTTACATGAAATAATGATAATGTATTATCTTGGAAACGACGATTCATTTTTTTCCCGGAGAGAATAAATAAAAAAATAAAAATACCATTTGATTTGTTCAATGTTATCGAAAACAACAGAAAAAACCAAAAATACCAATCAACAATGAGTGAATCAAATGGGTGAAAATAGTTGAATTTAAGAATTTCTAGATTCTTTCTTTTAGGTTTGATAAATAAAAATCGAGCTTTTTATTTTGCTTTTCATTTAGATCATATATATTCAGTTTGTTATTTTATCCAATAATATTAGTAATAAAAATTATATAATAAAACGACCAGAAAACATAAGGATGAAATAGAGCAAAAAAAAATGAATGAAACCATGAAGAAAATCAGTTAAACAAAATGATAGAAGAACAAATGCATCAAATGTGTTTGTATGTGTGTCTGTGGATGTATATATGTCAATTATTGTTATAAAATGTATTTACAATAATCAAATTAACATCAGATCAACATGAACAAAACAATTGTTGAGTTGGATTTTACCCGCGTTGTTTGTAAATAAATGTGTATGATTGTCTGTCCAGTGAGGATGTTTGGTTGAATTTTTCAAAAAAAAAACAAGATGAATACGTGCAAATTGTAATCAAAAGGCGTGTTTGTTTGTTTCGAAATTTCAACAATCATTAGTCGATGCATTCATGATTTTATGACCAAAACATGTGTTAATCAGATCCATTTTAACATTTTGATGCCAATTTATAGATGATTTTAGTTAATGTAAAAAATTTAATCGAACCTTCCACACCGAATAATGTTGAAATGTTTTTATCACAATTCAGATAATATGATGAATTTTTCGTCTGTCATTTAGAATTAAACAAAAAAAAAAAAATGTCAAACAATGGCTAAGCAATAGAAAAAAAAATGTTATTACTTACAAAAACTAAGCCATTATCAACAGCATAATCAAGCATTCGAGAGCAAATTTTTTGTGGTGAATCCTGAACATTACAAAAATGTCACCAAACAAAAAATAAAATTCAGTGAAAATTATTTCAATTTGAAGAGAATGTTAAATGTTGAAATGTCAACAACACAACACAACCAACTTACCACAGTGGTGTCGAAAAATTTAGCTATCTGTTTAAAATTTTTTCCATTAGACGATGTCTGTATTGAACGATTTGTTTGAGTTGTTTTATGACTATTACCATTCGTGTTATGATTGTGTTTATTATTGCCTTAAATTGAATGAAAATAGAAAAAAAATGTCATTCAAATTATTTGATAAAATAGTTTATCCGTTACCTTTGTTTTTCTTACAATCAAATATACCATTTTTTGATTGATTATTATTATTATTATTATGGTCATCTTGGTCATTAGTGGATGAATGTCGACGTTTTATTCTTGATGTTGCTGTTGTTGTTGTTGAGGCTTGTTGTTGTTGCTGTTGTTGTAACATAATTTCATCAATTAATGGATCTTTTTTCAATTTAGATAATTGTTCATGTAAACGATCATATGCAACAATGGCAACACGTCGTCTAGCAGGACGTGCTGCTTGATATTCTTCCTGTTGTAAACGTCTAGCCAGTTCTTCATCCGTTTCGACACTTAAAGAATCTTCATTATGATCATCTAGATTATTTTCATCTTTATCATTGATTGTATTATTATTTGTTTCTAAACGATTTGATATTAAATTATCATTCTCTGTATCTGCATGATAGGTTTTACGTCGTTTTGTGATCGGTTTCGATTTATGTACAATAGATTGATCATCATCATTTGACTTTCTTCTAATAGATCTATTAAGGTTTGTCGTACCATTATGTTTTGTCACAATCATATGATGATGATGATTATTATTATTAGCATTATTTACTAATGTTCCATTAAATATTCTGTGATGTGAATTACGATTATCGATTGGTTCCAATAATGTACGATGACATTTATTATTATTTTTAACTCTTGTTGTTTCATTCAAATCATCCAAATCACTATTTTCACTATCGCTAAAATCACTTCGTTTGAAAAATGTTTTGATGTTTTTATTATTACAATTAATATTGGACGGCGTTTCATCAATAGATAATCCTTCATTTGATGCATCCGAATGAACAACTTCGGATGAATCGGATAAAATCGGTATGTCTATCGATCCATTATCAACCGATCCATGATGATAATAGCCATTACCATTGAGAATTTTAGCTGTATCATCACTTTCACGGCTATCATCGTCATTATCATCAACAATACCGTTACGGTGAATATCTAGATCTGAATCCAATGATGAATATGAATGAGGAGATGAAATAGATGAATTTCCAGAATTTAATGATCGAACACTGGCCACTTCGGCATCGTCACACCAACATTTATTCATTTTGTGATTTTTGCTATCATGGTGATCATTACTGTTTATTAGATCTTTATCATGTTGATGTTGTTGATCATTATGATTCGAGTTAAATTCAATTAATTTTGATTTGTTATCAAAAACAGCATTTTTTCTATTTTCAATAATTGGTTCTGGATCAGGAGATTCAGGACTACTTATCGTTCCACTAGTAACCTTTGCACTTTGTGTTTGTTTATTTTGACCTGTAAATTTTTTTGTTGATGATGATGATGATGATGATGAACATGTTGATGATATTGAAACACTATCAGATAATGTAGGCTTTATTAATGATTGATCCTCATCTAGATCAAAATTCCTATAAGCTGTATAGCGCATTAATTTTTTCCAGAATACAGTCCTTTGTTGTGGTTTATCATTTGTAATACAATCTCCATTATTACCACCAACACTTATGCCATTTAATTTAGTTGATGACTTTTCATCAAAATTTGAGATTAACAATGATAAGGAAGAAGAAGAAGATGATGATGATGATGATGATGATGAATCTTGAGCATTTTCATAAGAATTTTTCATTCTCATCGAGGTAGTTACTAATTTTGATTGCGTTTCAGAGAATTTCTCAATCATTTTAGGCGTATTTTTATTCATGATATTCACATCTACGGCTTCTGTTTTATTTGATGAATATTTTGTTGTAATCGTTTTACTATTATTATTAATAGATTTCAAATTGAAATTATTATTGCTTTCACGGCAATCATTATTGCCATTATCAATAATCATATTATTCTTTGTTGTCAATGATGATGATGATGATGATGAAATTGTTTGTGCTGTGGACGTGGCTAGTATATTTTTATTTGTTCTTAATAATGAAACATTATTGTTATCACTATTATAAGAATTTGCAATTGATGATTCAATAGATTGTGCCACTGCTGAATTTTTTATTGAACAAATTGAATGGTGATTATTAATGAACGCATGTGCAATTCTATTTGATTCTTGTATCGGTGATTTGGATGATGATGATGATAATGTTGACAATTTTTTTATAGAATCATTATCATCATTAATATTGCATAAAATTAATGGCGCTTTTTTCTGGTTCTGTTTATTATTAGTATTGCCATCATTATGTATTAGTAATTGTGATTTTCTTTTCTTCAATTTTGAAATTTTTCTTTTTATCATCGTTATTGATGTTGGCACTTCATTGGAAGATAATGATGAACGTTTTTTAATTACATTATTACTATTTTTATTATTTTTGCCATCATTGTTTGTTGAAATTTTCGAAATTGGCACTTTAGATTTTTGTTTCGAATATTTTTGTTGTTGTTGTTGTTGTTTTGTTTATGATATTCATCATCACCATCATCATCATCATCATAATTTTTCTGCATACAAGAACCAAATGCTGAAACTGAATGACCAGAATCAGAATGATTATGATTAGCAATGAATAATCGTAATCCATTTGTTATTGGTGATATATTTTCATCAGGTTTCATTGAATTCGATAATGATGATGATTTATTTTTTATTGTTTGTAAACGATTTAAAAGGCATTCATAATGATACCCATTTGTTAATGATGATGATGACGATGATGATGAAAGAGTATATTGACTATGATAAGATTTGATCAATTTTCGATCTTCATTAGGCATTGATTCTAATAGGGCAATTATACGTCTATAGATATCCAAACGGCTAAACAATGTACGAACAAATGTTGCACCATATTTATCTCCTAATTGGTCGATTATTTCATTTTGTATATTTTTTAGTGTCAATTTTTTCAGATCAGTCTTTCTTATTATATCTATTTGTTTTGAATCAAATAAAATGAAAATAAAATTTCATAAATTATAAATGAAAACATATGTAATACAAAATTTCAGACACACAAAAAATACAAACACTTACCATTAATAATATTCGAAGCATCATTGGTTGCATGTTCACGTAATTGGTGAAAATCTTTATGATTTTTTCTTAATCGAAAACTATTCATCGACAATGATGGTAATGGCGATGACGATAATGATGATGTGGATAAGGGAGAGTTTGTTGCTGATCTAGATATCGATGTTGTTGATGTTATTGAAGAATTAAATTTCGTTTTATTTGTTGTTGTCCATGTTGATGATGAGGTTGTTTTGGTAATGGTATTATTTATTGGATTTACATTTGTAACAGGAATAGATGTTGTTGATGATAGCCTGAGATTTTTGTGTTTCGATGATGATAATGAAGTTCCAGATAGCCGTTGTGTGATCGATGGCCGTAAAAGAATCACTTTGTTTTGTATATATTTTGATGAATGTTGTTGATTATTAGTGGTATCGGCTATATGAATCGATGATGGAACTTTCAACGAAGTTGCCAACATTTTGTTGATTATATAAATAAAAAATTAAAATCAATATCGTTTGCCAATAGTAAAATTTGGGCGTTTCACTAGTATGGAACGATGAAATGATGATGATGATGATGATAATGATGGTGATGGTGATGATGATTGACGATGATGCTGATGATGTGGATAAGGGAGAGTTTGTTGCTGATCTAGATATCGATGTTGTTGATGTTATTGAAGAATTAAATTTCGTTTTATTTGTTGTTGTCCATGTTGATGATGAGGTTGTTTTGGTAATGGTATTATTTATTGGATTTACATTTGTAACAGGAATAGATGTTGTTGATGATAGCCTGAGATTTTTGTGTTTCGATGATGATAATGAAGTTCCAGATAGCCGTTGTGTCGATAGCCGTAAAGAATCACTTTGTTTTTGTATATATTTTGATGAATGTTGTTGATTATTAGTGGTATCGGCTATATGAATCGATGATGGAACTTTCAACGAAGTTGCCAACATTTTGTTGATTATATAAATAAAAAAAATTAAAATCAATATCGTTTGCCAATAGTAAAAATTTGGGCGTTTCACTAGTATGGAACGATGAAAATGATGATGATAATGATGATAATGATGGTGATGGTGATGATGATGAAAAATATTCAATCATCGATAAAATCATTTGTGAAACATTTGCTAATGAAATCAAAAAAAAAAAAAAAAAATTCTTTTCAGCTCTTTTGAATTTTCTTGTTAAAGATTTGATGAATGATGAACCGAATTCAAAACAATATATCCAATGATGATTGAATAAAGAAATTTATTTTCCAATGGAACAAATATTAATATTGGCGGGAGTAAAATCACTGGAAAATATATAATAAAGCCAACAAGGCAAACGATTCAATCATCATCATATATTATATTACAATAATCAGATATATAAAATCCACACTTTAAATATAAAGGAATACACACATCTATAACATGAAACGAAGAGAATAATGACCAAGCCAATATTCAGCATAATGAAATGAGACGAATTTTTTTTTCCAACTTTTTTTTTCTTTCAGCTTTTTTGATGAAATTCATTCAATTTCACTGTTGTAGTGTTTGTATTTGTGTTTGTGTGTGTGATCATAGAAAAAAAAATTGGTTGGCCAAACAACGACATCGACACACACACACACACACACACAACACAGCAGAAAAAGAGTACGAGCAAAAAAAAAAAGAAAAAGATCTACAGTTTGTGCGTGTGTGTGTTCTCAATATTCAATGGATCACAAATATTATTATGAGATGAAATGCATAGATTAGTGACGAATAATAAGAAAAAAAATGGAGAAGCACATAACATATATACACAACATACAAACAACATATAACTTATAAGTTCCAGCAATAACAACAACAACAACGACAACAAAAAATGAATAAAATTTTAGCACTTTGCTGCTATGCCAATTGCTAGTATCCAAAATATTTTTTTTTCTTTCTTCGTGTTTTGTAAAAAAAAAACTTCAGACTCGTGAATCATTATCATCATCATCATTGTATAAAATGTTGCAAATTCATATTGTTCTTGGATATAATAAAATAGGATACAAAAAAAAATAGGAAGAAAGAGAGAAAGAGAGATATAGCAATATTGCATTTGGATATCGGACACACAAAATGATAGAAGTTGTGATAACAAAATGAATGGTGGTGGTAGTTAGATGATGGTGGTGGTGGTGGTGGTGGTGGTGGCCTTTTGATTGTTTCTCTCATAAGGTATATAATTGATTGTTGAGATATATATAGCGAAAAACTTGTTTGTTTCTTCTTCTTCTTCTTTTTTCCAGATTCACAATTCAAAATATATATTCAATTGAATGTAGAGAGTTCAATTTTGTTTTTTTGTTTTACCAAATTCACAACATTTCACATATATATTATAATAATTCCCTGCAATTGCACACTACCAATGATGATGATGATGATGTGAGCAGCATTGAAGTAAATAACAACGTTGACGATAGCTATCAGAAAAAAAGCGCGTTGTTGGCACTATACACAAACACACCTACTGTATATATATACATCATGAGATCTTTTTTTGGCTATCGGTTCTAATATATGATGGATAATAAATACACGAATGCTAGATGTATGCAGTATAACTGACATATATATCCTCATTTGCTCAATATATATTAATAATGTGTCTCTCAGATGATATTTTGGAAAAAAAAATTTTTTTTTTAATTTTGGATACATGATGATTATGCGGAGCCACTTTCGTTCGAACCATATTATATTTGGATAATATTTTTCAACTTTTGCGCAATTTTTTTCTTTCTATGTTAACAACAAAATGAATATAAAAGAATCTTTTGCTAGTAATTTTTCAATTTAAATGAATCAAATCTTGAAATTTCTGAATTTAAAATTTTCAAATATTATTAAGAATTATTTAAAATTTAAAAGATGATTCTAAGATGGAAAAAAATTACAATTTTTGATTATTGAAATTAAAATTTTGATTGAATATTCATTGTTTTTGCCTATCGGTCATCAGATGGCATTAGTGGTGAAATTCTTTTGTTTATTCAACTCATCTGCTCTAGGCCCTGGCGAATGTCGAGGATTTTTTTTCCTTTTTTGAATACAAATAAATAAATCAATATTCTAAGATATTGATGATATAATTGATATAATACATTATTCATTGGACTAGGAGAAATTTATTGCCTACGATAATGTTCCAAACCAATGCTTTTTTTCGTTTCTATCAATGTCCACAAAAGAAATTGACAAAAAAATGTACAAGACCATTTTGTCAATATAATCATGGAAATAATCATGGTGAATCGGCCATTCCTGTTGTCGATTATAGCCAAACAAATTTTGGTGTCGATGATTTTTTCTCAAATCTTCGCCCAGAAGATCTTGAAGGCTATTTAGAACCATCAACATCATCATCGTCAATATCTTCGACAACAACGTCAAGCCTAACAAATGAATCAATCATTTCATCATCTCAAAACAGTATTAGCTTCGATAATTCATCGTTTGAATCATTCGTCGATAAAAATGAGGATGACCACAGCAATGATGATGAGCATAATAAGTGCAATAACAATAATAAATCATTGGATTCTAAACAAAGTATTAAAAATAATGAGATGAAATCGAATACTAAATTCGGTTTAAAAAGAACCTTGTCCATAGAAGAAATTTCGAAAAAACACCCACCATCTCAGTCAAACCATTCAAATGGTAATGATGATCTGTGTTCAACAGACCGGAAAGTTGAAAATACTCATCCAGTTAATCATGTAAGTGAATTTCATGTAGATAAAAACAGATTGACAAATTGTTACATTATTTTAGAATTTGACAATCAAAAAACCACGAACCACAGTCAAAATAAAACATTATCGTGAAGTCATGTTGGAACGATATGCTAAAATAGCAGCTTTATCGAAAAATGATAATAATTCAATCGATTTAAGTTTGTTCAAAATCGATCATCGACCATCACTTTCTAATACTACTAATGAAAGCTCAATTAAGTCCGGAACTTTGATACTAAATACAATTGGTCATACTGCAAAAAACAAAAAGGAACAAAATCTGGCAACAATAAAGTTGAATACAAAATCTAAGATTGCAGCTAATACTAATCGAAATCCAGAAGAATCTGTGAAAATATTTGCTTTGAATTGGATGCCAATCACTGTGCCATCAATAAAAATTGCATTCAACATACGTGTACGAAATATAAGAAGAATTTATGAAGAATTGATTAAGCTTAAACCAGATAAAAACGAAAATGAACTCTGCAAAGAAGCACGTGAAATTGAAAAAGAAATCTGTATTCGAAGTAAAAACTGGTCAAGTTTATATTTGTCATTGCTTGCATCAAAAATTCGTTCAATTCGTAACAATGATGATAAGTCAATGGATTCAAAAACTCCTCGGGTGAAAATTGAAACTTCTAAAGCAAATAATATGAGTATAGTGCGTAAGGCAAAAATCAGTTATAATGATCTAACCACAGAACAATTGTCGAAATTTCTCGGACAATTAATCATACCCAGCAATGACTTATTATCATATGGATTTCCTAAACTTGATGATGAAAGTGATCGAGCATTATTCTCACAACATGAATGGGATCATCGTAGACAATTGATAAATACATTGATCAATTATAAAGAAGAAATCCTAATTACTTGTGATCGTTGTACGAAAACCTACATAAATCCACAGAATACTATACCAAGTGTATGCGTATTTCATCCGAAACATGCATATAATTTAAAAACGAATGGAAGAATTGAACGTTTTTATGTTTGTTGCAATAATGAAGCCGGTTCAATTGGCTGTCAATCAATGGATGTTCATGTTACCAAAGGCCATCAATTCATTGAAACTCGTACCGGTTTCGTTCGGACTATTTCTCATCCAGATGAAACACCAAAAGCATATGCTTTAGATTGTGAAATGGTATCATTTTTTTGTAATAATTATTTTTATGTCATTTTATTATTTACATTTTTTTTGATCTATCATACAGTGTTTCACCGAATCAGCCTCAGAAGTATGTCGAGTAACAATCATTGATTTTGGAGGCGAAGTTATCTACGATAAACTAGTGAAACCAATTTCAAAAATCATCGATTATGTTACCAAATATTCAGGAATTAAAGAAACGGATCTCATCGATGTAACAAATACATTGGAAGATGTTCAACAAGATATATTAAAAATGATATCAGCTGAATCATTCATCATTGGTCATGGATTGGATTCAGATTTTCGTGCTTTAAAATTATTACACGATAATATCATTGATACAGCTTTTTTATTTCCACATAAAGCGCGGTTTACCTTTTAAAAAATCATTGAAAACCTTGGCTGTTGATCATTTGAACAGAATCATTCAAGAAGATGGTAAAATTTATCATTTCAAATCGATTGATCCTATCTATTTATTCTCATATTCTCATCATATATAATTTTTAGAAATTGGACACGATAGTGCTGAAGATGCAAAAGCTGCTCTGGATCTGGTCAAACTTCGTCTACAAGATGTGATTAATAAACACAATGTTTAATGCAATGGTATTTTTTTGTTATATAAATCATTAATTATTAATTAATAAAGTTTAAACTCCTTTAATTTTTGAATGAAATGTTAATTTGACTAAATCTACTTAGTTGCTTGATCAATATATTTTTTTTACCATTCTATTCATAGGGCAAAAAATTCATATGTTTAACCTCAAAGTGATAATGGCGCCATATGAAAATGATGTTAACCATTGGAAACAAAAAAAAAAATACAACAATGATGACAATGATGATGGTCATGATTATGATTCTTGGATTTGAATTTCGAACGTCTATAAAAGTCAATTACTGATTTTGTTCGAAGCATCATTTCGATTTTGATTACTACATTAACAACATTGAATTATTACCATCTTAATTTTTAATTCTTATCCAGCCAAATATATTTTGAAATGGCCATCGAAGATCAAATCGAATATTTTATGTTTGATCATGATAAATATATGTTTTCTGGACGTAGTGGTAAACAACGATCAAAACGTGAAACAACATTGCATACAAATCGTTATGATCCAAATGGTCATAGTCGTAAATTGTTTGTCAAAATTCGTAATACCGAAATGAAACGTCGTTCACCTACACAACAACAACAGTTGCCATCAAAAGCTGTTCAATCATTGAAAAACAACAAAGAAATCAAATCTCGTTCGGCACGTTCAATGATCCGATGTCTTTGAGATGTAAAAAAAAATTTTTTTTTTCAATACAATGTAATGTTTGATTATTTGTTTGGTTCGCTATACCATTACATTCTTTTTTTCATTTTTGTTTAAAATTATTATTATTTCATTCATTCATTCATTCATTCATCATTTCAGATGTATTAGCGAATGTTGAAAAAAAAACAAATAATAAATTTTTTAAAATTCTTGTTTAATGATGATAAAATTTATTTATGTATTTATTAATTATTATGCTTTGCGTACAATTTTACAAAAATACATTGGACCAAAATTTGTACAAATATTTGGCAATACTTGTGTACCGTATTTGAATTGAAAATCAAATTGAAACATTGTACGAAATGGTCGCAATGATTCTTTTAGATCAACTATGGAAAATTCTAACATTGGTTGTTGTTGTTGTAGTCGTTTGAGTGCCATATGTACAACACCATCATTTTGTATTGGTGACAAACTACAAGTAGAATAAACAACAGTGCCGCCAATTTTAACCGATTTAAGTGCTTCACATAGAATATCCAATTGTTTATTTGGAATAAGTATTCTTTCATTCATACGTCTTGTTGAGAAAATATTGTTTTCATTTACATAGATTGCATGACGATCATTTGTACATGGCACATCGACTAGAATTTTATCAAATCTATCATATTGCCGTAAATGATTGGCATCCGAATGACTGAATATGATGGAATCTTTGATTTTATCTTTCGGTATGAATGATCGGAAAACATTTTTTAGTCGATCAAATCTTGATTCGGACATTTCATTTAGAAACAATCGACAATTTTTCAACTGTAGATACATTAACAATGATTTACCACCGGGCGCGGCACAAAAGTCAGCAACGAAATCTCCTTGTTTAATATCCATGATTAGAACCGGCAATGCTGATGAACCATCAATTAGATAATAATTGAATAAATTACTTTCACACAAACGTGCTGCAGGAAACTGTGTAAAATCGTTTCGACGAAATACATAAAGGTTCAATAAAACTGGCATTTCCAGCTCATTTTGCTGGACACGATCAATATGTAATTCATGATTCATGTCATAGAATTGAAAATATTCGTGATCATCAATTACTTCTTCACGATATTTTAATTCAGTTACAGGCACAAATTCACTTAGATCCAAATGCATCGATGCCTGGTTATGTTCCAATTCAGATTCTTGTACATCAGTGAAAAAAGCTTCAATGTTTTCAGTTTCAGATTCTGTATATTCCAATTCAGATGGCATGACAATCGATTCATTATGATTACTATTATTAACTGCCATTACATTTCTAGATTTAATAAATTCATCTTGTTTCAATTGTTTAACAATTTTTCGTAAATTTTTATCATAAATATATCGTAGATTATATGCACCAAGTTGACGTAATTCAATCTCAATTGATTCAAAATCAACAAAGTTGTTCACAATAGCTGCATATTTTTTCGGTGACAGTAGTCCTAAACGTATTGATTGCCATTGATTTCCGTAAATTTTTGAATAAAAACTATCAAAATGACGTAATGCCAGTTCAGTATTATAGACTTTATTTTTACCTTTAAACTTGTTAATGAATAATAAATTTGATTAAATTGTCAACAATCAAATAGATAAAATGAATACTCACAAAATGATTATTGCTTCTAAAACGGGTTGGAATTTGTGATAAACTTTTTATTCTTCGATAATTTGAACCAAACATTTTATTGATTTTTGAAACAAATATCAACAACAAAAAATGAATCAATAAACACGTGTTTGATCAGTAGTGTCATCTCGTGACAGAAATTTTAAAATGTGAAATTGTGATCAACGAAAGTTTTATCTACTTAGATTCTACCAGCCCCAGAACAGATTTTGATTTAAAATATTTATTTGTTAATAAATTACAATGATGATTAGTGTCATATGTTTACAATTTTGAAATCATGACGATGAAAGTTTCATCTGTTGTTCAATGATTGATTCGGGCCACCAAAATGGTCGCCATGTTTGTATACGATGGCCCGTACTGCTTAACTTGAGTTTGGAATCACTTAAAATTGAATCAAATTTTAGTATGGCCAGACCTTGATTACCGTAATTTGATCGAAATCGTCCAACAGTTTTACCTTGTGTATCAATGATATTTTGCATCTGTAACATTTGATCCGATTCGATGGGTGGATCAATAATTTTGATAGGCATTACACGTTTACGTATCACACCGGTATGATAAGTTCGGGCAGTTAATTCTTGTCCAATGTAACAGCCTATGATGTTTTGTAAAAAAAAAATATTAAATATGAACTAATCATTGGAAATCATGAACAAACCTTTTTGAAAACTAATTCCATTAAGTATATCACCGTTAGCATCGAATGGTAAAGAACTTTCAGCTGGAAAATCTAAAATACCTTCACCAATACCATATTGATATCGAAACGAACGATAACGATCTTCATCCACTTTGGATATTTTCCATTCACTTGAAGGATTCATTTCATTCAAACGACATATCAATTCATCAATTGATTGAATTGTTGAGATCATTTTATAACCGAAATGATTGTTTCTTGGATCATTGATCAGTATCGTTTTTGAATCTTCATCATTCAATCGAACAATTTCAGATGAATGATTTTCAGCAACACAAGGAAATATAGCATAACATTGCCAATCAGATTCAGTGTTTCTAATTGATACTTTACTTTTAATTTTGTATCGTTTTAAAAGTTTAGTAAGAATTGAGCTAAGTTGATGATCAACTTCTAAAAAAATTATTGCATTATTTTCATTGTTTTGTTTCGTCATGAATCGATAAACAAATAAATCAGCTATAATACGGCCAGTATTGTTTAAAAAGAACGAATAGATACACGACGAATTATATTTGGAATGATTATCACAGGATAATTGTCGAATATCATTGGTAATTAAACCTTGAAGAAAATCAGCAGAATCCTTTCCAGTGATTGTCAATAAACTTTTACTTTTTAAATTGGCTATATAATAGCTCTGATGATGTGATGAAAGATGGCGATGATGAAAACATTGCCTCATTATCGATATTGATGAATAATTAATGAATGGTTTTAACATTAACATTTTTTGGGACATTATTTTGTTCCAGGAAAAAAAACTTCATATAAAATTCATATATTTCAAAAACTATCGAAAACACATGAATAATATTTTGGTGGTAATCACGTGTTCAATGAATGAACGAATTAATCGATAGTGTATCCTAAATAATTTGAACAATTTTTATTTTTATTGAATGAACATTTTTTGCGTCTGTTCATCGTAATTATCCAACAGAATTTTCATAAACATTTACCAAAATGAATTCTTATAATTTTTCTGAATCAAAATCCATTGAAATCTTCCAACCACTATGTTTAAGAACAGGATTTTTGTTTCAAGTTGTTGTTTTAACAAAAAAAACGACTACAACGAGACAGTAATTGAATTTTTTTTTATGATTTTTTTCAATGCTATGAAAGGCTAATATAATATTATCGTCAATGCTTATAAAATGTTGTGTTTGAAAAATCATTTTCTATGATGATGTGGAATCTGTGATAGATACAGACAGACAAGACATACAACACCAAAGTGTTGCCTACGTGATATTTGATTTAGCAACCAAACCAACAATGGAAAGCAATGCATTTTTTTTGGTATGGTCTGAATCGTATCAGTGTTACTGCAATACAAACTGCATACTTACAAACTGGCAAATCCTTCTATATTTTCAATAGTGTTATCATATGCTTTAAAAGCATTTCAGTATACAGAGTGATGTGTATGTATGTTTATTATTATGATCATTTGACAATGATGATTGTTTATTATAAAGGTTATCACGCTAAACGAAATGGCAAAATGAAATATACATTTTAAGTGTTATTGATAGAGAATGAGGATACATTTTTTTATTATTATTATTACTGCATGCATGCAATATTTATGCAGGAAACATGGGATATACACACACACAAACAACACAAGTCATATGATGATGATGATGTTTGTTGTTGTTGTTTTTTTTATTATTATGATGACGACGACATTTTTTTTTGCTTCAATATTTTTGTTTTTCGTTTTATTTTTTTTTTGTTTCCATGTTAAAAATTGGTTATTATAAGATCATGGCTGGTTATGAAATTAATTTTCTGAAAGATTTCTGATCATTATTCATGAAGATTCAGACAGCCAGATAAATCATACCATCATCAAAACAGATAAATATAGACAAGTTTTTTTTTATTTGAAATAAAAAATTCCTATCGTCTATCCCCTGTAAATGGATAAGAAGAAAAAAGTTCCACGTCGTCATATTCATTGATCGATCGATCGATCGATTTGTTTGTGTGTGTGTGTGTGTGTCGGGTTTTTTTCCAATACCAACCCAATCAATAATTTTTGATGGCAATTTTTTTATGATGACATGGCTAAGTGTAAATCATCTACTTGTTGATTTAGATAGATTTTTTGTTTTGTTTTGTTTTGTTTACTCGTACTAGCAATAGTAAAAAAGGATTGCGTGTATTGGAATGTATTTGAATTTGATTAGGGTTAAACACAATGAATCTGTCTGTATTCTGCCTGTCTAGTTTTTTTTTTCTAGTTAAAATCGAATCAAATTGTCTCAAAAAGAATATCTATGATTGATACGTACACAATGTATCTTACAACATTATCGGATTATTGGTAGTTGAACCAAAAAAGAAAAAATGTCGATTTCTTTTTTTTCTAAAAATCCAACCTTTTCAAGTTCTTTTTTTTTACTTTGAATTATACACAGTGGCTATAAATATAAACACATCATGAAATGTTGAACAACTAGTTTGGTACAAAAAAAAAAATAAAAAAAATATCGATGATGACCAACTGGCTTCTATTTTTTTTCAATGTAATTTTCAAAATTCAATCTTGATTTGGTGGTTGTCAGGTCTTAGTCAATCAATTCAGGTTATATGAAAATCCTGTAAAACAAGTTCATTGAACATAATAATGTCTATATATATGGGCGATTTAAAAAAAATTGGAATAGAATTTTTTCAATAGAAATAATCAACAAAAATTTTTGAAAAACATTACCATTTTGAAGAGAACAAAAAAATCAAGAATCCACCAATTCCGGTATTTTTTTTCTATTTATGGCATCATTGTCATTGTGAATTGCATCATTATTTATCAACGAAAAAAAAAATTCCACACCATATACATCAGTTATTATTTGTAATGATCAGAGCCAAAAACAAAATCTAACCACATGATTTTTTTTTTTTTTTTTTTTGTTAATTTCATATCATTATTTTGATATTATACGCTCCAATTGTAAATGAAATGCAAAGAAAAAAAATGAATGAATGAATGACACTTATAATTAATTTATTACCAGTCATATTATATTGTAATTAATGAGGTGGAGAAACAAAAAAAATTGAAATCAATCGAAATAATCAAATGAAATATCATTGATCATCATCATGTGATCATCATGATTGTATTGTATTTTGTCCGAGATAATTTTTTTTTTTACTTATTGTTTATTCATCATCATCATCATTGATTTAATCGTTAAAACTCATCATCATTAGATTCTCAAATTTTTTTTTTTACTAAATCATACACTTGTGTCTCTCTCAATTATATCCAAACACACACACACACAATATACACACACACGCAATCCAAGATACATGTACATTTAGCACTTATTTTTTTTTTATTTTTTATTTTTGTTGGCATCCATGAAGGTCTTTTATACAGACGATTATCAGTGCGTACGTGTGTGTGTGTGTGTGTGTGTGTGTGAAAAATCGGAATAATAAACAAAACAAAATAAAAAAAAATCGTACATTATTCGATAGAATGTTTGGGGCGTCAACATTAATGAATGACAACCAAAAAGGAAAAAAACCTCCATAAGTGAAACTTGTTTGTTATTGCTGTCTCTTTTTGTATTTATTTTGTATTGGATGAAAATGATTTTCTTTCGATAATAAAAAAAAACCATTTCACGACTAGTATATAAATGGATGCACATAGCGATCAAGGATGTTAAATTTTATATATTCTTCTCATTCATTCATTCATTCATTATTATTATTATTCAACGTTTAATTTTTTTTTTTTTTAATTTATTTGATTTTCAGATTTTCTTTTTTATCATTTTTGCCATTTACAGTATTCTTCTTGTAATATTTTCATTGCAATTCACTTTTCTGACTATATTCGACCAGAATTCCTGTTTTGATTATATCAAAATGTCATCACTTGAAGATCCAACCGTTTTAGAATATTATATGTTTGAACATGATAAACATATGTTTTCATCACAAAGTGGTAAACAACGAACAAAAAAAGAAGCTGAACAACATACAAATCGTTTTGATCCGAATGGCCATTCACGAAAAATCAGTGAAAAACTTCGTAATTCTGAACAGAAAAAGAAATTGGAAAATTTAAAACCAAAACCACGTACACGTAAAGATTCGATCGAATCAGATGAAACGGACGAATAAATAATGATCTATATATAAACAAGGATTGATATAATCGTGGAATCGGATATTGATCCATTTTGATCAGGGATCGATCTGGTATCCGTATGATTGATATCTATTTTTCTTTTTTGGTCTAATTTGGTATGGTATGGCTGCTCTCTTAATCTAATCGGTCTTTATATCTGGCAAGTTTGTCTCTTTTTTTGTGGTACTAATTTTTTTCCAAACATTCAATTGCATCACGTTTGTCTGGTTTATGCATGGCATGTTTTGTATCCACACTCTCATCATCACTTATTATTGGTATATTTGACATGAGAAAAAAACAAAAAAAAATTTTCATCTTTGAAATTTGGACTGAAATTTGTCGAATGAAAAACAACAAAACAACAACAACATTTGAAAAAAAAACAATTCTGATTTCTTATTATAAAAAACAGACAAACCGAGCAATCGATCTGATATGATTGATATTATATTGTATTTGTTGTTGATTGATTAATCATTATATATTCAACAAAAGAATTGTAATGGCTTGAATTTGATTGTATATGATCAGAATGAAAAAAAAAAAAAAAAATGATTAAAAAAATTTTCAAAACATTGTAAATATTAATATGTTCGAAATACTATACGAGTGCCATCTATTGGTGATTGATCCAAAAATTTTCGGCATCATCATCATCATCAATTTATATATACAAAGCGTTGAATGCATTTCAACAAGTGTTTATATTTACATTCAATCGATTGACTCAATAATTATTGGATCCGAATACTAATCATTCCAATTCATACATATAGTTTTGTTGTTGTTGTTGTTGTTTGTAGATTCCCTGTTTTCAACATTTCATCGTTAAATATATTAACTGGCCATGTAAATCTGTACTACACACACACATGTTTAGTAGATATATGGTAAACCATTGATTACCATTGAATTCAATCATTGAAATTTTCATTGTTTACCTTAAACGTAAATCACACTCGGATGAAATTTTTTCTTTTGCTTTTTTTTTTTTGTTTGATGTTGAATGATGAATAAAGAAATAGTAGTCCACAACATTGTGTGAACAATAAAATACAAGACCAGCACGAGTACAGGTAAGAGATTATTATTATTATAGAATAGATATCAATTGGGTTTTTTTCCATCAATTCCACTAAAGTTTGATGATAATTAGAATAATTAACAATTTTCTTTTCTTTTCTTTAGATGAATAAATGAAAATTACGAAACTATACGAATTAATTGCATAAAAGCATTGCATAATAATATATTTTTATTTTAATTTAATTTGGATACATCATCATCATTTCAATCATGTCGAATGTGAATACAAATAATAATAGCCATTCAACCAGAACTGATAATTATCAACAACAAAATTTAAATAATAATCATCATCATAATGTTCATCAACATCAAAACAATAACCAAAGGATAATCGATAATACATCCACATCACCATCGGGTACACCTCGAATGCCCATAAATGGATTGGAAACAAGTACAACTACAACTACAACGACGACAACAACAACAACAATACCACAAAAATCATTGCCATCATCATCATCATTTATGGTTGGATCTTCACCAAATCAACAACGTAGTTATTGGTTACCATTATTAGCGAATCATCAATCACCATTACCATCACCACCATCACCTTCACCATCATACGATATGGGCGTTGATCATCATGCACACCCACCGCATTATCTTCATCATAATCATCATCATCAATTACAGAATCAACATTCACCGTTTTCACCATCACATTTTCCATCACCACCACCAGCACCGCCATTAATTCCATCCGCTCCAAATCATAAAGATATTTTAACAACACAACCACCACCACCGCCAATGCTGTATTCCACACAAACAACCAATTCTAATTATGGTGGCTATCAAAGCCAAAATATTTCGAATCGATCTCCAGTTGTGTATGTATATGAACTACCATACAATATCCGTAAATCTATTTGTGATCTTCTCGGTATGATCCATTATGATTGAATATGACATTCATATTTCAATAATATTTATTTCAACATATATAGATGCCGATAATTCTTGGCGTGAACTTGGTGGCCTTTATATGGGTTTTAATGACACTCAATTGACATTAATTTCACATGCATTATATCGAAGTGCATCACCTACAAATGAATTGCTTACAAAATGGGAATCTAGTAATGCCAAAGTATCACATTTATTCATATATCTAGCCCAAATGAAACATCATCGTGCTTTACATCATTTATTGCCATTTGTTAATCAAAAACTTCGTATAATGTATGAAACAACCGATGGTAATCCATCGTTTGAACATCTTGAATCAATGTATAATCGATCAAAATCAAATGATTTATCATCAATCATAATCAAAGATTTAAATGCCAAACAATCAACATTGAAAAATTTTATGGGTGGAAATTCCAAATATTATGATCATCACCATCAAAATCATAATCGATGTAAAAATAATCATCAAAATAATTGTGGCCAATCGGATGAGGAAAAAACATTGATCGATTTGCAAAATGATACAAAAAAAGCTGGATTATCAAAACGATCAAAATCGAATGATCAAAAAGAGATTGAATATTTATTGAAAATTGATGATTTTAAGATTACCTACAAAGAACTGGTGATTGCTACCGATGATTTTTCCAAAGATAATGTTTTAGGTAGTGGTGGATTCGGTACCGTTTATATTGGTGATTGGAAAGGCACTGAAGTTGCAATAAAAAAATTAAAAGGCCTGGATAATTTGTATGTATAGTATATACATTTTTATTGATAAATCAAATTTTCATTTTAATCTTTTTATTCATAGAACTCAAGCATTAACAGAATTACGAATCCTGAATTGTTGCCGTATTGATAATATTTTACCATTATATGCTGTATCCTTGGATGGTCCAGAACCATGTCTTGTATATCAATACATGTCTAATGGTTCATTGGAAGATCGTCTTCTTTGTAAAGGCAATACTGTTCCATTGACATGGATTCAACGTGCCAAAATTGGTGAAGGTGTTGCTAGAGCTTTAAATTTTCTTCATACACTCAAAGGCAATCCATTCGTACATGGTGATGTTAAAAGTGCAAACATTTTACTTGATCCAATGTTTGAACCAAAACTTGGTGATTTTGGACTAGCACGTCAAGTTGTTAAAAATAGCCGTAATGAAAATTCAATATATACACATTGTACTGTTAGTTCAGTGAATGGAACTAGTGTTTATTTGCCAGCCGAATATCTTCGTCAGAAAATTCTTAGTCCTGCTGTCGATGTTTATAGCTATGGTATTGTCATATTAGAAATGGCTACAGGAAGACGAGCTTATGACGGTAAAAAATTACTCATAAATTCTGTTGAAGATGAATATAGTAAAGTGCAGAATGCTACGTTACAGATTCAATCTATTAAATCAGATAATAATAATAATCAAAATCAGAAACAAGATTCAATGAATGAAAATACGCTTGAATTTTTAATGGATAAACGAATTGTTAATCTTACAGATAATCGTCATTTATTCAACTATCTTCTTGAATTAGGTCGAAGATGTGCCCATAAAACTAAATCAAAACGTCCAATCATGGTTCAGGTGAGTTTAATCTTGAATAAACACAGAGTAAATAAGCTAATTGATTATTTTTACTAGATTCTAGAATATTATAATCAATGTCGAGCTACTGAAAGAATATATCAACTATGTGATAAAGTTATACAGAACAAAATGTCATCATCAAAAGATCAATTATCGAAAACAAATGTAAAGAATCCTATTGAATTACAATTATGGTATGATTTCGTTAGAAAATCCTGTGGAACATTGAGTGAAGTTGTATTTGAAAATTTTGATGCTCAAGTTACGAAAATAATTGAAGATTTAGTATCATCAAAAGATTCGAATGAATCCACATACTATTTGGATCTTTTACTTTGTTCGAAAAATCGATTATCAAATAAATCATTGATTCGTTCACGAGAAAATCCAGAAACATTGTCAACAGCCAATAATAATAATAATAGTAGTAGTAATGAATCATCAATTTCATCCATATTATCGTCATCGATTAACACTTGTAATCAATTATCAAATTTATCAATCAATAACAAAACAATTGAATCGAATAATAATGATGATTTATCCAGAATTTTAAAATTAATCAATCTTGATCATAACATTGAACAGTTACAGCAGCAACAACAACAAGAACATGTGATTTCCAAAATAACAACAATGAATGATGAAAAATCTTCATTGAAAAATAATAATAATGATGATGATGATGGCCAAAAAAATTTAACCGGTGAACAAGACGATAATAATGATGATGAACAACAACAATTGCAACGACATTCAACACCATTCATACCATTGTTGACTGCATTAGGTTTTGATACCACTGATTTTGATCGATTAATCATCAATGAACAGAATTGTTGTTAACACACCCACACATACACACATTTATTTCTCACAAATTTTTATTCATGTTTTTCACACATATTTATGAAAAAAATAAAAATTTAATTTTTATATATAAATTCGAGATCAAAATCAAACAAAAACAAAAAAAAACAAAGATAACAATTAACAAATTGAGGTGATTGATTGATTGAATGAATGAATGATTGAATGGAAAATACTTTTATCAAAGAAATAGATGAATGAAAAAGAAAATTGTAGCCAAAAATAATAATCATCATCAGTCATTTATATCACATATAATTAGTTAATTAATTGACAATTTCAATTTCAATTTGATCATTTACGATATTCAAATATCCATTTCGGCCATTGGTGATGACAAGCTGGTCAATAGTTTTTCGGTTTGTTTTAGACTGTACAAAATCTATAAAAATATTGATTGTAGGGGAAAAAAAGGAAGGAAGAAAAAATGAAATTGCAAACACTAAAGAAAAAAAATTCTGGTTTAGCAGAATGGTTTATTTATTTATTTTTTTGTTCAATAAATTTTTGAATTTGGTAGCAAATCTTTACCAAAAAAAAAAAAACAAAATTACAGGAAAATAAAAGCGATAACATTGGATCATAATTGCCTGAAATTCAAAATTTACTTCAATTCCACGATAAAATGCTCAGTGTATTTTTTTTTGTCACCAGAATGAATTCACTATTGAAAGAAGAAGAAGATATAGCTCACAAAAAAAACCCAAAACAAAATTTAGGATTCTAGGGAAGGAATCTTTCTGATCTATAATGTTAAGCTATACACACTATGTTATATTGACTAATTGTGAAATGAATTAGTATAAAAGCAAATGGGATTTGAATTGGATTTTTGTTTTTTTGTTGTTGTTATTTCTTCCAAGGAAAAAAACTTACCTGAATATTACGTTTGGATGGATAAATAGCGAATAGGCTTAATTGTATACCGTAAATGATTGCACCAATACCATTTGGTATCTTTACAAATGAATCACCAATCAATGAACCATATATAAACCACAATAATGTAACCATGAATGATGATGCAATCAAACTGAATGGAAGACGTTCAGTACATTTGGATCGAATCACTTCGAATACTAATGGCATTGGTGATATTGAAAAGAATAACGATGATAAACAGGCCATTAAACCAACAAGATATTCTGGTTCAATTGAATATTGTATATATAAATGTACAAAAAATATGAAACTGAGTACGGCAATAATTGGACGATTAATTTTGCTCTAATTTTTTTATAAACATCAATTGAAATGAAATTATAGTTCGAATAATGAAACGAAAAAAAAAATCATCCACAAACCTTCGGAACAGTGTAAAGATAGAACCAAAATAAATAGATTGATTGTAATGTAAATCCAATCACATTGACAAATATCATTGTAGGATCATCGAGCATAAAACCATATCGAAGCCATAGATATCCACTATATGAATGCAAATATATTGAATATAATGAAAAAAAAAATCCAAAAGCAATTACAGTAGCAGCAACACACATACCACATGTTTCCAACAAGAAATGGTAATGAAGAAAAATTATCAGTCGAACCAGCCAATTGAATACTTCGACATATTGGACTATTGAATTGAATTTGAAAATTAGTTATCAAAATTTTTAAACAAAAAAAAAACAAAAAAAATTTTTTTTGTTGTTACAGAATACTTACATTCCAGTCAAAAATGAAAAAAGTGTAAATATGGTGGCCACTTGGCCAACAAATTCAATTAAAGCCATTGGTTATTACAAAAAAAAAATAAAGTTTTCGTCTACAGTAAACCATAGAAAAACTATTGAAATTAAATAAATATAATATAAATTCAGTTAATACCAAAAGTTATGATCAGTTTTTTTTGTTGTATATATGATAATGATTGCTACTTGTCATTGAATAGGGAAAAAAATCATTCATCCTAAATCTGTATAAAAAGCGATAGATTTGATTATTATCGGTGCTAATTAAAAGTGAAAATGTACAAAGATATAGATAGTCGAGTCGTGGAAAAAGTACAACCAAAATCATGCGATTTGGATGAAAAAAATTGTTGGATTTTTGTCATCAAGTCCCTCCCATCAGTAATAATGTGCACCATGTGTATGTCATTGGATAATTTGATTGATGTAAATGAATGAAATGTGGTTGTTTTTTTGTTTTGTTTTGGTGAAATCGATTAAACATTTTGTTTTTCGAATTATATGATTGCTAATTTGCAAGGTTGTATGTGTGTGTGTGTGACAGGTGTTTGAATGTGCATATGTCGAGCAGGTTATATTTAACAATTCTATTAGAATAGAACGAAACTAAAAATTTGTGTTTATTTTGTTTCATAATACTTACCAGAATTTCTGGTTACCGGTATAAAATGTTTTGGAATGTTTGATTTCATTCGTAATAAATTGCACAAATCAAATAATTTCAACACAATTGAAATTATTGTGCCATGATGAAATGAATCACGTGTTGCTCATCATTATGTACACAGACAAAAGTTTATACATACATGGATTCTATTATATTGCACAAGATATGGATTCTATGCTCATAGACATCATAACTTGCCACGTATAAATTCGGATTTAGGATTTCCAATCACATGTTTTTATTTTTTGGCATTGTGTATCATATATTATAAAAAATCGAATTTTACTTTGTGATAACGAATTTTGGATTTTGAATTTGCATTATCATACCAGAAAAAAATGCCTGGTACAATTAGCCGAGCATCGAGGCTCCCAATGATTAATTGGATTTTGAAACAATCTTTTCATATGGATACAATATGTAACAAATACATTACCAATACTGAATTAATTCATCGAAGTGTTATGTATGGTCGTTCCGCATATCCAAAACGACCAAATGATCCACGTGTACCATCAAATCCTAAATTTGGTACCACTCATTTGAATCTTAAACAACAACCAGAATTGGTTTCAGATCCAGATTTAGATTCAGATATCGGTATAGCCGATCAAAAACGTGGTACTATTTCGAAAGCGATGAAAGTATATCTGGAACGTGCACGACAGCATAGTGAATTTATACGTGAACAAGAAGTAGAATTTGAAAGTGGTCGACGACATTTGGCCAACATGATGGGATTACAAATTGATTCATTAAATCAGCAAGACATTGATGTAAGTAAATTTGATCATTTTTTCATTTTTTCAAAATTCTAAACTAATCATATAATATGGCAACATTTCAACAGGATGCACTTAAATATCTAATGCCATCGGGTTTATTCGATCCTCGTGCCCGTCCTCGAATGAAACCACCAAAGGAAATCTATCCGGCAATTAAGCAGGCACAATTTAGTGCCGATGGTCGACCATATCATTCACTTTTCTATACTAGCCGTGCCAATTTCTATCAAACATGCTTTGTAAGTGAATGATTATGAATTTGTTCAAATGATAAAATATTTTTTTTTCTATCCAGGATCTTGAAGAACAAATGAATCGCCTTAAAGATTATGAAGATGATCAACTTCGTTCCGGTATTAATAATCCACCAAGTGATTCTAAATTGTATGTACCAATTGTTCTATTGAATCAATGGAATATGGAATTAATTTTTGATCCATAAACAGGGATTTGAAATCATCAGAATGGATGTCATCTAGTGAAATGAAGGCCATGTTTTTGGAAAAACTTGAAGTTTCTAAATATGAAGCTTTCATTGTAGCTTTGGAACGTTTGGCTAGTCATCCATATTCGAAATTATGTCAAGATTTTATAATGAAATTTCGTAAAGAAATTAAATCTGCTATTGAAATAATGGAAATACCACCGTTAATGTTTGACCAAGATGGTCGACCATATATGAACGCAATTGGTCGTCGAAAACTTTGTGTTGCCAACGTTACCGTTCGTGGTAATGGTACGGGTAAAGTGGATATCAATGGACAAGATATCCTATATTTTGATTTCATACAAGATCGGTGAGAATTTTTGCAATTATTTTTTTTTCCTAATTTTCATTATCAAGAATTATTAAACACATAGGGAACAAGTGATGACACCATTAAAATTCTGTGGCTTAATGGGCAAAGTTGACATTGAATGCCGAACAACTCATTTGGAATATACACGCGAATACAGTGAAGATTCACCACCATTTCCGCATCATGTTCGTGAACTAGGAACATCTAGTCAATCCGGTGCTATTCGTTATGCATTATCGATAGCATTACGAAGTTTTGTTGACCATGATACAGTGGAAAAAATGCGATTAGGTACAGAATTTTTAATATTTTATTTTTATATGCACATTATATTACTAATTTAAAAAAAAATTCAATTTCCATAGTTGGACTTCTTTCCAATGATCGACGTGTCAAATTGCGAAAAATCTGGGGCCAAGAAGGTGCTCGACGAAAATATACCTGGAAAAAACGTTAATATTCAAGACGAGGAAAAAAATCACTTTTTTTTGTTCCAATAGCAACGTTCATCACTGTCTTTATCAAAAAAAATTCATTTATTACAATTGTCATTATTATAAAGTCGATTTTTTTCTTCCTTTTTCTGTCATTCTATACTTTATTATACTTTGAATAGAATTAAATTCTTTTTGTAAAATGATGAATAAGAATCGTAATTACATGAGATATTTTGATGAAAGAATTTCATAAGAATTAATTCAATGTGGCAAATTTTTTTCCCCCCATAAATAAACACATGCGGGTGTGCATCATTGTGAAACAAAAAAAAATTTTTTTTTTATTTTCATTGTTTTTTCCATAATTCATGCATACATGTTGATGTAACCAGATTCGTTGTGTTTGTTGTTGTTTCCAGGATTAAAAAAAATCTTTTTTTTTCTTTTGGATTAAATTTGATATTTGATATTTTTAAAGAGAAAACATAATTTTTTTTTTTTTTTGGTTTTTCTATTAAAACTGCTAAAATTGAGGAAAAAAAAGGCAATAAGAATTTATATTTTGATCAAAAATCTCAAATTAAGTGAATGCTATTTTTGTTTTGTTTGTCTTTAAATTTTTTTGTTCATAATTTTAAAACGAAGCGTAATAGCATAATATGACAGGAACAATGTAACCATAAGTACAGCAAATTCTGTACGAACAATTGGTCCACTATATGGTGATGAATGTCGGAATGGTAACATGAATAATGGCCGTATAGCAGCATTACCATTATCACGTTTTGCTTTACGATATTGTTGATAACCATTCTCATCATAAATGGATATTTCATAGCTACCGGATGATGATGATGTTAAATCATTTGTCCATGAGATCTAGATTTGTTGTTTGATAATGTGAAATTTCAATATATTATTTGTAAATAAATAAAAAATATATATATTAATTATCCATTATTACCTGATATGAACCGGTTGATTCATCTATAAGAGCAACAGATAATGTTCGATCATTGAAAATTGCATAAGCAGGAATCACTATTTTTTTTTTTTTTTTTTAATTGAATGCAATTAATTTAGTAAATATTTTCCATTTTACAATTTAAGCTTACCATCTTTAGGACAATTTGTTATAAATTGTATAACATGTCCAGTACTAACCAACACTAGACCATCATTAGCCGTATAGCTTTTTGTTGTTGCCTGACAAACATCAGCTATGACTGTTGATGATAAAACAATCAAACCGAATAAACTGATTTTGATTAAAATATTTGATTGATTCATTCTTTCTTTTCCAACAAAAAAAAATAAATAAAAAACTGTTAAAAGACAATAAAAATGTAAAAAAAAAATATCCAACAGAAAAGATGCGGTATTCTATGTCTTTAAAAAAAAAGTCTACGTGTACAAGTATTCGTATACTTGAAAGCATGAAGCATGCATGTATCACAAACAGACTGAGCCATACAACACACACACACACACACAGAGCAACAAAAAAAAAACAAAATTCCACTATTTCCACTCCAATGGTATAACACAATTGATGGAAAATTTAAAATTCAAAATTTTAAAATTCGAACCAGAATTCTTACGAAAAAAATCGATATTTTCAAAAACCACATTACTATTTGAAATTTTTATTTTTATTTTACTTAAATCATTACTGTTAACTGTTTATAAACGTGTGTATGTGTGTGTGTGTGTGTCTTTTTGTGTGTGTATGGGTTTGTTTAATTGTATGTGCATTAGTTTACAAAATGAAAAATTACAAATAATAAATAATAAAATTGTAAGAACAAAGATGAGATTCCATCATTATTATATAATGGGACATTGTAAGAAATAATGAATAAATAATAAGACAAATTAATTATAACAAAAAAAGTTCAAGCTTTTTTTCTTCTTCTTCTTGTACTTCTTAATTCTCATTGCATTGATCTATTGATCACCCACTGGTCAATTTCCACACATAGAAATCATCATCATATGAAATATTCTTATAACATGAATTATAATGTTTTTTTGATATATAAATGATTAGCATGATGGTGTCTGTTGTGTGAGTGATAAGTTAATTTTTTTTTAATTTTAATTCTTTATTCTTGTAAATGGAAAAGGATGGATATATAGAAAGAGAGGCTGTTTATCAGTTTGTGTGTGTGTGTCTGTCTGTGCCTGTGTGTAAGAAATAAAAATAAAATCAATGACAACAACAACAACAAATTCGATTGGTTGATGACAATTCCAGTATCAGCAGCAGCAGCAGCAGCAGACAAACGTTCCAAATGTTATGTAATGGACCATATATGGATTTATGGTAATGACAACCAATTAGTTTATTGAATTGTATGTTTATTATATGGTTTTTTGGTTTGTTGGCGATCGTGTATGGAATTTGAAAATTAAACGTTACATTAAACGAATAAATGAGAAAATTGTATCAAATTGAAGGAAACAAAAAAAATTTATGTCCATGTCAACAACAAGTCAAGTGTAAAATGAGATATACAGAATCAGAACATCAGATGGATACAATGGAATGAATCAAAACGAAACAAAAATTGTTTGTAATGAGAAGATACGCATTTGGATTCAGAACGAGAATTTATCACCGAAATTTTTTTTTTTTTAATACAAAAATCACAACATTGTTTTTTTGAATTATTTGTTTGTTTGTTTGTTTGGTTTGGACAATAATAAGATCAACAACAGCAACAATTCAGAAATAATTAAACACAAAATTGACAATTACAATGATGTCAATGTTTTGTTATTGACATTTTTATTCTGTTGTTGTTGTTGCTGTTGTTGTTGATTTGATATTTGTTGTTGTTGTTGTTGTGTGGCTGATGTTGTCGTTATTGTTGTCGTTGCTGCCGCTGCTGATGATCTTCGATGTTGATGTTGTTGTTGATGGCGTCCATGACTGTGATGGGGTGATAAATGACCACCATTTTTATAATCATGTTCGTCATGATCATCATCACATGGATTACTACAAATTGTTGCTACTGGTAAGGTCGAAGTCGGTGTTGTAGAAAATGTTGGGCTCATTACGGAAGTAGGTGATGATGATAATGATGTAGGCGTTGTTGACACTATAGTTACAGTATTTGGTTGCTGTTGTTGTTGTTGTTGTTGATGATGATGATGATAGTAATGAGGATGAGAATGTTTTTGTTGTTGCTGTTGTTGATGAGCGTGGTGATGATGATGATAATGGACGATCTGATGTTTGAGCTGCTGTGGTCGGCCATGTGTAATACAAGTGGCCAGATCGGTTGTTGTCACAATGGCTGCTGTGGTTGATGTGGTCATTTTTGGACATGATGATAATTGTTGTGGTGGTTGTCTGATTGGCGATGATAAAGATTTGGCAGCTAATTGATCATTATTATTGTTTATCATTATTTTTGATGACGATAATGATTTATTTGAATCACGTTTTTTATTATGATCATCGTAATTACATTCATCATTCATTTCGTTTTCATCGTAATCATCATCATCATCATCATCATCATCATTATCATTGTCATTATCGCTATTATTTATATCAGCAGCTGCGGCCATAGTTGCAGCCGTTATAGCCGGACCAAGAACATCGACAGCGGAAACACTTACAACGGTCGCTACGGTTGCAACGGCTGCAGCAGCCGTTACTGAACGTGTACTGGTTTCAGTGGCAGCATAAACTCGATTATCTTCAGAAACGGTTAATTTGACATGTTCTAGTCTCCAAAATGGAAATTTAAAGAAAAAAAACAACAACAACAACAACAATAACAACGATATGATAAAAATAACAACAACAACAACAACAAAAACAAAGATTTTTTTGTTTAATTCGTAACAATTTGAATTATATTATAGGGATTCATGTACATTCACTGAAAAACAAAATCTAGGACAAACAAAAAAGGATATTGCATATAAATAAATAAAACAAAAAAATTGTTTCCCGGGATTAATAATAAAATACAAAAACACAGAAACGAAACAAAAATGAAAATGAAAATGAAATGGAAAAAATGAACAAAACATAAATAGACCAAAAACAAATCGAGAGAGAGAGAAAAAAAAACATGCGATTTGAATTAATTACCGTGATTGGATGATGTTGTGGGAACACTTGAAGATGTTGTTTTCTTATACGTTGCACTATTCATAGTTAGCTTACGAACATTTTTATCCGGATGGAAGATGATTATGTATAATTTTGGTGAAAAAAGGCAAAATAATGCTACGTAAGCGCTCAATGAAATCGAAACACATAATGTCGTTATCTGGATCTTTTTATTTTGGATTATATTGATATAAAGAGTGAGATATTTTTGTTTTCATTCAATTGGATATAATCAATAATTAAATCAATTGAATTGAGAATAAATCGAATCAATTTGCTTACTTCGAAATTATTGCCAGTTCCAAAATAGATTGGAACAAATGCTAGCCAAATAATACATGTTGTATACATGGTAAAGCCAATAAATTTTGATTCATTAAAATTTTCCGGTATTTTTCTTGTTTTAACCGCATATAATGTACATGTTGTTATAAGAAACATATTATACATGAGGCTTAATAAAAAACTGGAATCTCGTACACGACATTTAAGTATCACTTCGGATCTTTTACCATCTGGATAATATTTACGGATACCCGGTGGTTCAAGCAAAAACCAAACACCCGTACCAATTATCTATCATTATATATATTAATTGATTATTATTATTATTATTTAATATTATGAAAAAAATGTAATCAATGGATTTACCTGTATCATGACCAAAAAACCGGTAATAATCACTTGTGATTTTGGACTAATAAAGCTTGGACGACGGACAGTTTTTCTTGCACTATCGAATATTCTTGATATTCGATTAGTTTTTGTAAGCAATGCTGCATAGATTATAGCAAAACCGAAACCAACCTATTTTTTTTTTGTTTTTGTTTTGTTTAGTTTATTAAATAGATTACATTTTATTAGATGAATTTAATATAAATTTTTTTGTTATGTTGAATATGATAAAAATCAACTTACCCCAAAACGTTGTATGGCACAGGTGATTAATGTTGGTTTGGCAATCAAAATGAATGTATTAAGATAGCAAAAAATGATACCGCCAAGCAAGATGAATGATAATTCTCTGCCCGATGCTTTGACAATAGGTGTGTCACTATATTTGACAAATATCATTATGACAAAAAATGTTAGAATAAGGCCAATGAGAGCAATTATTATTGGCACTATGGCAAACATTGATGCCCATTTCATATAACGTAATTCTAAATCATAGCAGCTTTGTTTGTCCGGATATGGCCAACGGCCTTCACCACAATCTTCACATGTAGATTCATTATAAACATATTCATATGGTTTACATGCTGCACAAATCCAACAACAACGGTCACCTTGTTGTACGATTTTAATTTGGCCTACTTTACATGGTTTCGAACAAATTGATTCTGGTACTCGTACAATACGTGTATAACCATCATTACCATCAACCTGTATATCTTGAAAGCTATCGTCATCTGGTGTAATGTTGAATACAAGCTCATCTAGATATAATTCCAATCCAGCATCACTCCATTGACCAACTTTTTTATAATTATATTGATTCGTCGATAAAGTTGAGCGTTGACTGTTGTTAAGCTGAAAATTGTATATATTATAACGGCCGAGACCATCGCCATTTTTATCAAAACGAATTTCAGTACCTGCCAAATCTTTTCAAAACAAAATAATAATAATAATAATAAAATTCAGCAAACAATCTTTTCAATACTAAAATGTATGCATAACAAAAATGAAAAAAGAATACTAACCAATAAATGAAACGTTGAGCAGATAATGTTTATAGAATGTTTCACCATCAAGCTCTTTTAATCTTGGACAATATCCTTCATCGGATTCACATAGATCAAGCCATGCATTATGTAATGCATATGCAAATGAATAAACAGCATCGACAACAAATTGTACTTTAGATTCTTGTTTATAACCAATGATACCGGTAGGTAATTGTTGTGAACATAAAGGCACGGATAAGTTCTCAAATGGATCATCATCAAAACGGCAACCATATGTATCACGCCAATATTCTTTAAACCAAGGATTTCGTCTTTATTTATTTGAGCCAATGTTTTTGTGTGTGTGTGCGAGTGTGTGTGTGTGTGTGTGTGTGTGTGTGTGTGTGTGTGTGTGTGGATGAAAACATAAAGAAAAAAATTTATATTAAACCATAGATACATTATTATTATCAAAAAAAAAAATTTAAAACATGACGATCACAAAATGAACAAATGGAACAAACCCAAATTGAAATTAGTGGATTCAAAATTTATTCATTCATAAATAATGTATATTCAAAACTAAAATATCTTGATGATGATGATATACAAAACAACAAACCAATCGAAAAATAAATGGATTAGAAAAACTTGTACAAAAGCAACAACAACAACAACAAAATTTTCAACATCCATTTATATAATATGATAATGATAATTATGGAATTATGTATATACACAATACACAACATTATGAGAATTATATTTGTCTGTTTGTTTGTTTTTTTAATATTTATTTTATCAATTTTTCATTTCCATAAACTACTACACACTGTGTGTGTGCGTATGAAATCCTACAGAATTTGATAATCATATTTCACATATAATGTAATGTGATATGAAACAACAACAAATGGAAAATTGTCATTTGAAAAAAAAAAAAAAAAAAATAATAACTGGTTGAAATTCATTTGTTTTGTGTTTTTGTTTCACCTTTTTAAATCTCATTTTATGTGCTACCATTATCACACTATTGCACATTTTGAAAAAACAAATTGAATTGGTTGTTGTTGTTGTTGTTGTTGTTTGAGATTAGAGAAATTATCATCATCATCATCATCATCATCATCAGCATTATTTTTTCATGATGATAATAATAAGTTTCAATTTTACATTTGGAATAGAAACAAAAACAAAAAAATTTGAATCCAATTCTCATATTTCCATTCTGTAGAATTGATGTTATTTTTATAATTCTCTATCACTTTTTTTTAATTTTCATTTCGATTCATTTTTTTTCTATCACCATAGTTCATGTGTGATCAGTATTCAATTTGATTAGATTTTTTGTATGTAAAATAATCATAATTACCGATTATGTTCGATGGTTAGATTGGTGAAATATTTATCAAATTCTTGTACTTCAGTTGTTGCCAATTCAACAGTGATAGCACCTTCGGCTACTTGTTCAACACCCAATACTAAATGATCCTGTTTACCCCAGCCATCCGAAGCAATAAATGTAAAATGATTTGTAAAATTGAGTGATTGAGCGGCCTCAAGTAAGCCACGATTGTCTTCAGCACGTAAAAACAGTACAACACCACGAGCATTTGGTTTTGTACGTAAATTGAACAATATTGATTGAAAATAATTTGCATTGGCATTTTGTGGTACTTTTTCATTGGCCGCAATACAAATTGAACGTTTTTTTGCTTCACGAACAAATGCAGTCATACCAGAATCACCATATTGACCTTCAGATGTTACTAGACTAACATATGACCAATTAAATTTGAGAACCAAATCAACCAACGCTAATGCTTGATACGTATCAGGTGGAACAGTACGAGCAAAAAAATCATAACGTGTTTTATCGCTCAATGATGTTCCTGTTGAGGCGTAGCTGACCTGTGAATTCAAGAGAAGAAAAAAAACAGAAATTGCCATTAATGGTTATATTTTGGATTAAATTTTTTGAATGATTACCTGTGGAATTTTAAATAATCTTAACAAATTGGCAACTTGTAGTGAAACCTGGAATAAGAAAAAACACATGATATAATTTAATTAATATTATTTCAATCAATCAATATCGATTAATATGTCAGCAATATCCATGTCAGCATTATGTTCATGAATATCCAAAAATATGTGCATTGTGGCAAAATATTTGAATTTGAAAAAAAAAAACTTTGCAATAACAAATCTGGTTGAACATTTTTTTTGGATAAAATAATAATAAATAAGATTATTATGAATATATCAAAACAAGAAAATGGTGAATGAAAAATATTTCAACATCGGGTGTTTGTTTGTTTTTTTTTCTCTGAGATCGACATCAACCTGATTTTTTTTCTCGTTTTCCATTCAACCTGTTCTTGTTGTTGTTTTCAATAATTTTCGAGAAAAAAAAACGATTTTGTTTATCGTTTTTTTTCGTTTTTGTTCAAAACATTTGTACATGCTATACGCGATACGATATGTGACATATGTGTGTGGTGGTGGTGGTATAAGTTTATTCATTTTTTTTTATTTTTTATTTTTCGTTACCATCATCGTATCTAAGATAATATGACGGGCGCCACCTTTTCAATTTTGTTTTCTTCATCTATGAGTAACATTTTTTTTCTTTGCTCTACTGTTTTCATTTTTTTCAAAATTCAAGATTTTTTTTTTTGCTTTCGGACATCGTTCATCATCAATTGTAAAAGCTGTCAACTGAAAAAAAACAATTTTTTCCATTTTCTCTGGTTGTTTTTTGTTGTTGTCTGCTTTTTTTTTTGCTGGTGACAACAATGAAAAAAAAATGAGAAAAAAAAACAAAAATCCATTCGAATTCTTGGCGTATTAGGGAACATGAAATTATAGAATTTATGGAATTTTTATGGAATATTTTAGCCATACACACACACACTTGAATCATTAGACACATCTTATATCTCATTAATTGTGAATTTTTTTTATGTGTGTGTGTGTGTGTGTTTCAAGAAAATATAACACAAAAATTCTGGATTCTTGTATTGATTTTTTTTTATTCTCATCATCACAAATCTCCGGTTTTCATTTTTTTTTTCATTCAATTTCAAAACTTTTGATTTTGTCGTCATCATTTAGTTTACATTTTACATCTATCTATTTGTATTTCAATCTAAAAATAAAATTCTTTCTTTTTTTTCTGAATTGAATGGAGACAAAAAAAAATTTCTTGATTTAGTTCCTCATTTTTATTTTTTATATTCATAATCCTGAACGTTTGGGTTCGTTACATGACCACGTAATGTTATTGGAATTGTAGCTGCTGGTACTCGAACCGTTGACATATGATGATGCTGTGAATTCTGTTGAATCTAATAAATGGCTAAGCGCCATGAACAATGAAATGAATTCATTGGCTGAAAACAAAACGTTTACTTTGGTCGATCCTTCAAATGTCAATACTATTATATCGTCAAAATGTAGGATCTATCGTATTAAAAGTGATGGACGTTATAAAGCGCGCCTTGTTGCTCGTGTAGATTTGAACAGAAATTTAACGATTATTTTGATATCACTTATTCGCTTGTCATAGCTTTCTTGATTTGGTACGTTGGTTTTTCAGTATTGTTGCTACGTTTGATATGGAAATGCTACACCCGATTTCACAACTGCATTTTTAAATGGTTATTTAAAAGAATCCATATATATGTATCAAATCCAGATGGTTATAATGATGGATCCGTAAAGTATGGAAGCTGAATCGTGGTCTTTATGGCTCGAAGCAAGCCCCCACGGGCATGGAATGAATGTTTCCATAATGCAGTCATCGAATTCGGCTTTGAAAATTCAACATTGATAATTGTCTGTATTTCAGACGTATTGATGATCGATTGCTTCTGATATTACTTGTTGGATGATGGATTCATAGCCTCAACTAACAAAGTTGATTTAATGGTTGTGTTCAGTTTCTGAAAACAAAATTCAAAGTTACATCATCAATGATCGCAAATGATGATGATCAAATATTTAAATTCGAATTCATTTCTACCTTTTTTTTTTTTTTTTTTTTGTTCATTCAATCTTTTATAGTTTCAATTTGATTTTTTTTTCTTTTTTCTTCTTTTGAATACCTGTTCAATGTTTGCCTGTTTTAAACTGGAACTAACACTGAAACATTGAAATGTTTGGATATGTTTGGTATGATGATGCAATTTGCGTGATGTTATAATAATAATGATGATGATGATGATGATGAAAATAAAATATAGCCGAACCCGGGTTTGAAGAGAGGAAATGTTTTTTTTTTATTCTCGATGATATACCGTTTCGGAAGAATCAATTTTTCGGGCTAGATAAAAAAATTTTCTTTTTTTTCCAACTAAATAAGTGTATGGAATAAAATGCTGCTATCATCATAAATTGGTTATCATAATGATAAAAACGATTTTTTTTTATTGCTGTTGTTGTTGTTGTTGTTGTTGTTGTTGGAAGTATCATCGACCAAAAAAAAAAAAGAAAAATGAAATTTTTGTAGATTTCCTACACACACACACACACACACGCACTCAAGTGTTAACATGTACAAACACAAATAAAATTTGAATTCAAATGAAAATTTTTCATTTTTTATTTTATTTTTATTTTTTCATTTCAATATGAATGCAAATGACATCATTTCCATCATTTTAAGATGAAGAATTTCCAAGGTATTTTTTATCGTTGAAACTTTTTCAGCAACAACAAAAAAATTTCCCTACGGCTTCTTTGGAATTGGACGTTGTCGTTGTTGTTGGACTTCCGCTATTTTTAGAGATACTCGATTCTATTCAATGGCTTTTTGTTTCCGGTTTTATTTTCGAAAAAAAAAGTTTTTTTCTTTTTGATTTTCAATAATTTTTTTGTGATAAATAAAACTAAATTATTATCTATAAACAATGGACAATAACTATTGCTTGAATGTAACATTATAAAACACAATGATGAGTGTTTTGAAAAGTTTTGTCTAACAACTATCGAAAAAAACTATCGATCATATCCATATGAAAAGGTCACGAATAAATGTTGAAGTGTGTGTATATTCTGATTTTAACATGAATATAAAAAAATTTAATAAATTCTTCTCTCACTGTATTGAGAATATTCTTATATTCTTTTATTTTATTGTTTTTGTCGTGTTTGTTTTTTTTTTGATTCTACATACCTCACTATATGATCCACCAACAACGCCACTGATATGTTTCCAATCATATTTAGGTCTCGGTGTTGATCCATCAATACATTCAAATGCTGATGCTTCAACAGTATTAATAGATGCACGAATAAATTCTAATGATTGATTTAATGCATATGTATCGGAAGAACAGGTATCTAAAATGATTGCACCTAATTTAATATTGGCCAATAATGTTTGATCACGATTGATCTTATCTATTGCAAATAACATTGCCTCTAAACGTTGTATACCACGATCTTTATTGATTGATCCACAATGTGTACTATTTTGACCTATATTCAATTAGTAATATGATGGATAGGGTAAATAAAGAATAGAGAATAAAAACAAAAATCATCATTATTATTGGCAACAATCAGCAAATAGGGAGAGAGAAAAAAAAAGAGAAAAAGAATCTATAATAATAGTTATAGAATATTTTGATTTCAATATATATATATTTGTGTGTGAGCAGCAACAACTATTACATTAATAATATTCTCTTTATTTTTTTTTTTTTTGTTTTTTACTAGTTTTTTTCTGACTTTATGATGAAATGGACATAGAAATAAAGACAAGTACAAAGTGTGTGTGTATATGTTTCAGCTAGGAATAGAAGCAAATGATATCGTCGTTCATTTTTTTTTTCTTCTTCAATGATATTAATGTCGGATCATTATGATAATAAATGGAATTTCTCGCGGTAATTTTTTTTTTTTACTTTTTACTTCTTCTTTTGGGTGACGATTTTTTTCTATTTCTCATCAATTTTTTTTCTTTTTTTTTTGGTTTTTTTTACAATAAATTTGTATGTAAAGAAAAAGTGAAAATAGATGGAAATGAAAAAAAAAGAAAAAGAAATGAACGATTCTTCTTGTCAATGATGTGGTGGTAAATATAGTGTCAAATAATATATGCGACATATGTGTGTGTGTGTGTGTGTCTGTATTGGATCCAATGTGGGCAAGCAACATCGATGACTATGATATTTATACGACGATAAACGACAAATAACAGTTCCATCATCAAGTTTTTATTATTATTATTATTATTTCTTGTAAGGTCAATTCAAATAAACTTTGGATTGAATCTGATTGCAACACACACACACACACACACACACACATACAGGATATCATTCTGAATGTTTCATAAAATTCGTTTCTTCAATTCAAATAATATAGCGATAATCAATTATTTTTTTTCATACGGGCTAGAAAAAAAACGAAATTCCATTCGTTACAATATGTGTGTGTGTGTGTGTTTTTTTTTATATTCTCGAATCAATCGAAAATTGTCGAAATATACTTGACAGGTTTTTTTTCTGCACTTGTATATATGTTTGGTCTACACTACTACTAATATTTTCTCACTACCATTATTCTCTCTCTCTCTCTCTCTCTCTCTCTCTCTCTGCAAGATTTGTTCATTCTTTCCTTCCATTTTCTTTCTTTTTTTTCTATCATTGATGATGATGATGATCGTTTATATCGATTCTGCTTACGTATGGTCAATTTTTTTTTGTTGTTCAAAATTCGAATTTCGATCCAAATTGATGATTCTCTTCTACCGATGATCGTTTTGTACCGTATTGATTAAATTCATTCAATAAAATACTGAAGAAAAAAAAAGAAAAAGAGAGCGACACAGAAGAAAAGAAATCTTACATTTCAAGATTCAGGTATCCAATTTATTCATCTATTTGATGTGTGTATGTGTGTGTGTGTATTTACATGGTTTGTGTTGAAAAATGGGGAAAAATAAAGCAAAAGAAAGATAAATTTTATGCTGACGACAAATACAAATTTTATTTGTGAATTTTTTTCTTCAGTTTTGTCAAATACAGTGCAATATCCATACATGATGTACATGATTATTGAATTGTATATCATCAATATTAGATTGTATTGGCAATTTTCATTATTATTTTGCTATCGTTGTTGCTGTTTTATTGTATTTGCAAATACAAATTGCAAACAAATTGAATTTTTATTTGTATTATGTATTCGAGCGTGGTGATGATTCAATTGGTTTTGCTAATTGTAATATGACTAAGGCGGCTACGACGATGATGATGATGATAATGATTGCGGTAAGAACAAACAAACAAATAATTTGGAATTTATATATACAAATCAACAAACACATAGACATAGAATGATGAAAAAAAAACGAAATCGGAAGCAACACTACATTCCAATTAATAAGTGAATTTATTTCGTTAATAAGTAAAATTTTTTCTGATTGAATAATAACAAATCAGGCAATGGTAGCAGAAAAAAAAAAAAACACCAACAGCAGAATCGATCCAAGATTCATCTATCATCATCATCATCATAATAATCATCATTAGAATCCGTATCACAAAATTGCCGTCAGCATGTTTTTCTCAAGAAAAAATGTAATGAAAAAGAAAAAGAAAGGAATAAAATTATATTAAAAAGGAAAAGAACGAACATCGAATGTTGATGGCCATCTTGTCTCGATTGCTGATGATGATGATGATGATTATAAGAATTTACAATAATCAATATTTGCAATTCAGCGAATTCTTTCAGCCGTAAGCGAGTAAAAAGAAAAAAAAATTCATCGAAACCAAATTTGATATATAGAATTTGTTGTCGTTGTTGTTGTTGTTGTTTCATCATTTCACATTGAATCGAATCGATTCAAATTGATTGATGGATTTCTTTCTTAAAAAATTGCAAATCAATTATTGATTTGGTTGTTGTTGTTTTTTGAAATTAAAAAAAAGTGACTAAAAAAATGAACAAATAATAATTTAACAATCTTTGTATTCTTTATTCTTCGATTTCATTTGTGTTTGTATGTATGTGAATTCTTTGCACATTTTTTTTCTTCCTTTTAATTGTAAATTGTCACCCATCACAACATTGTATTGCAATGAATATTTTTTATTTATTTTAGATTTTTTATTTGCTTTTTTCTTCGTGTTGAAACAACAATGTCAGCAAATTGAAAATGTGAGAAAATTTGTACCAATGAATTTGGGAAAAAATTTTTTAACGGAATCCATCTGATTCTACAACATTCGTTCTGCTGGTCTTGTCGAGATGGCCAAAATCAATTTTTTTTCTTTTCATTTTCATTCTCATTCTCATTCTCATTCTTTCTTTGATTACGTGATTGGTGTGAACGTTTTTTTTCTCTTATTTTGATTGCATGATTTAAACAAAATTGTGGCACTTATTTTTGGCAACTAGTCAAACAATTTAACATTGTGATGTGGATGATTATATGAGTGGGAGCCAGTACCAGAAGAGAATGGAGAGAGAGAGAAAGAAATCAAACTAGCCCTAAAGTGACAACTTGAATTTTAAAAAGAAGTAAACTTTGATTCTTTACTTTTTCTCAGCAATAATTTTTTTTTTGGATGCGTTTAAGAGAGAAAAAAAAATTCTGGCGACTATCGTTATACAATACATTTATACTGTTGTTGTTGTTGTTGTTGTCGGCGATCCATACATTATACATTTGAAAAAAACGCAAATGCACAGAATTCATAGAATTCATTTTTCGTTTCGTTTCGTTTCGTTTTGTTAGTGTGGTTTTTCATCCATTCATTCATTTCCTTTTTCATTTTTTTAGTTCTCTCTATTCTCTTTCCCTTTTATTGCCGTTGTCATGTTTGCTAAACGTCTGATTTTTTTTTATATTATCACTGAAGCTTTTTTCTTTTTTCTCATATTTATTTTCCTTTTCTTTCTTTTTTATTCGATTCAATTCATTTGTACATTTTTCTTCTTTTTTTTGAAAATAACAGGAACAAATACAAAGACGGGTCATACACAGTAACCGAACAAATTGATCTAATTTTTTTATTTCGTCCATTATTATTAATATTCTAACGACGAAAACCAGCAAAATAAAAAAGAAAAAAAAAGTAAAGAAAAGAATGGAAAAAAATATATAAATGTCAAATAAATGCCATATACACAAACATATTATATGTAGCACAAGAATCCAGGAATTCAGTAGTTATTTGTTCCATCATCATCATCATCACAGTGAAATAATATATACAGCCATGATAGAAAAAGATAGAAAGATCTGTATGGAAAAAATAACGATCGACAACGGAAACAGACCACAGAAATGGTCAAACACTAACATTATTAAAAATAATATAATAACAGATTTTTGAATTTTTTTTTTCACAAATTTACAAATTTGTTTAACCATTTAAAAACTATGAAAAAACTGTTGGAGAAAAAATTACTCAAGTACACACACACACACACACACACACACACACACCAAGGTTTTTGACAGATAAAATAGATAGATAAACAGAAAAAAAAATTTTAGAACCACTGAATGATCTCGTTATATCGTTATTTTTTTCTGACCAAATAAAAAAAAATACCTTTTTATTTCGAAAAAAAACTATTTTCCAATGTTTTTCCATCCATTCATTTGTTCATCATCATCATCATCATCATTTCGATTTGATAATGCTGGTATTCTTAGTTGGAAAGAAAAAATTAAATTAAGATGGACCAGCATCATTTTTTTGTTTTGTTTTGTTTTTTTTTTTTTTTTTTTTTTTTTTTGGTTTTTTTTCGTGGTCTCTCGGGCGTTGTTGTATTGTAATACATATACAAATTAGTATTATGAGTTCAGTGAATAATTGAAATTTGTCCTGTTTTATACTGGTTTCTTTGGAAGCATTTTTTCTCACTCTCTCTTTCTCTCTCATCATCAACATCATCATTAACAAAATGGCTATTATTGAACATTATTGTTAATGAGTAATCATCCAAATAATTATTTGAATGATTGATGTTTCAACAATGAGCTTGAAAAACGGTAAAAAAAACAACAACAACAACAACAACAATAGCAACCATATTTGAGCCAAATAAATGTGAATAAAAATCATATCACAGAATTTTTCACTCTATACGTTGGTTATATAATATCGGTGTATGATGACACCATTATTATTAATATTTTTTTTTATTTTTTATTTTTGATCATAAGAATAGAATGATGAAGGTGGCCGATATCCGATGATAATGATGATGGAGAAAAAAGTATGTATGTATTTTTTTTATTCAACCAAAAAGTCAAAAAATAATATTGATTTATGTGGACAAAAAAAAACACCCATAGTGAAGCATAGAATTTAGTTTTTTTTTCTTTTGGTACACTATAAACGTGTATTATGTATATACCACATAGCATATAATCTATATTCACACATAGTGGTTTTGTACATCATCATCATCATGTTGTTGTTGTTGTCGTCGTTGATTTTCTGGAAAAGCCC